ATTTACATGGCACTTGAAAATGTATACTTTCTTTCCTGTTTATGATTTCCTTGGTTGTTCATTCGGCATCTGTCACCCATTCACCACCAGCACAGACAAATGTACTTTTGTTTTTCTTACTTCCTTAGGGGCCTTGCTCTCAAAGCTGCATCACAGATCTTCAGGTCTGTGCAGCTTAACTGGAGATTGGGCCAGGACTTCTGGGTGTGTCTGCTCCTTCTTCAGGGCAGATATTATGTTCCCAGTAGTCACATGTTTTGAGGCTAAGTTACATGATTTGCCTGAGACTTTATAGGCAGAAATAGAAGAGTAACTTTTCCCTCTCTTTCCCTCCAACTACCTCACTAGAAAGAGAGGCACACACTCCGCTCCCCAAAATGTCCTATCTGCTCTTACGTAGAACAGAAAAAGGTGCAGCCTGGGCAAAGACTTAGGATGCTGAGGAATACTGAGTAGATTATGAAAGCATTTTCCTCACTCTAAATGGATAAGATTGAACTAAAAAAGTAAACCATTTGGGATGGAGAAAAGCATTTTTTTTAGTTTCTGAAAAGGCAGCATGTCAAAAAGGAATGTGTTTACATACGACATTCTTAGGTGGATGCTCCCAGATCCTTAACAGAAGGCTTGGTGAATGAAATTAGTCATTTAAGAAGTGTTTTGTTTTGTTTGTTAAAACTGATGACCCAGGAGCTCAGTTCTTAGGAGCCTAAGCAGCCACACCTTCCACTGCTGTCGGATTAGTGGGATCTTTCTGAGATATTCTGAGATACGGCTTCAGGGCTAATACAATGATGACCCAACATTCGGGATTCTGTTCAGAGCCTCGGAATTTAATTAATATTCCGTAGCTCTAAGCATCATATAACCTGTTTCTCCTCTGAATGCAATTATCATAAACTTTCACCTTCAGTGTATTGAAGACAAATACATACATATATGTGTGTCTGGCAGGTCATATTTTTTATTATTATAAAATATTGTATTCATACAAGTGGATTACATGTACGAATATAAAGCATATATAGTAGGTAAAACAATATCATAAAAGGACATTTGTGTGCCTAGCACCCAACCTAAGAAATAAAATATTACTAATTCCTAAATAAATCTCAGTCTTCCTCCTAGATTCTGAATGTTTCCTCCACCATTCTTTAGTTTTATCATCTGTGTATTCTAAAACCTATTGCTTAGCTTGTAAGTTTTTTTTAAATGTTCTATAAATGGCATCTTGCTATATTTCAGCAGCTTATATATTTTGCTCAACATAGTGTGTCTTTCATCCGGCGGATGCTCACAGCTAAAACTCATTTATCCTAACAGTAGCATGCTGGTCCATGACATGAATATACCCAGCTTATGAATTGATTTTACTTTTTTTTCAGGTATTTTGCACTCATACCCAATGCTGCTATGAACATTTTGTCCATGTCTTCTGATGCACATGAACAAAAGTTTCTCGAGGGTGAACATATAGAAGTGCAATTACTGAGAAATATGACGTGTGCACCTTCAGCTTTGCTGGAGATGCCAACTTGTTCTGCAAAATAATCATATAAATTTACATATACACAATTAATGTGTAACATAAAAGCCTGAAGTCCTGGCATCCTTCTTGACTCTTAACTTTATCTTATTTTTTCATCTATATTGTTGAAAGTATTACAGATGCCCTCATTTTCCCCCATTGACTCCCTCCTCCCCACTCCCCCTCCTTCACCACACTATTGTCTCTGTCCATTGGCTATGCACATATGCATATACGTTCTTTGGTTTATCTCCGTTAACAAATCCTAACAGTTCTGCTTTCAAAATACATCCAGAATCCAATCTATTTTTGCTATCTCTTTCTATTCATGCAGACTGGCTTAAGCCACCATCTCTAGGTATCCAGAGTTAGGATAGTTGCCCCTCCCCCCCCAAGACCACATGATTTAACCCCCTTCTTTCTCCTGGATTATAAACAATATCCTCCTTTCTGGCCCCCTTGTTTCCATTTTTGCCTCCCACAGGGAAGAATATTGTCCGTTCTGTAGCCAGAGTGATCCTTTTAAAACTTCAATTCAGATCACTTTATTTTTCTTCCTCAGAATTCTGCAAATTTAGCTACCTGTCTCTCTGGCTAGAACCAATGACGTTGCACGAGCCCCATTTAGCACATCCCCACTTGCTCGGTTTCCCTCAGCTCCATTTGCTTCCTGTTATTTTTGCATGTCAGGTAGCTTGACCTCCCAGATATTTTGCTAGTTATTTCTTCCGTCTGAAAATGCATTTCCTACCTCTTACCCAGACCTAACTTCCTTCCATGCATTTACTTAAATTACTACTTTCTCGGCACAGCCTTTCCTGGCCATCCTTATTTAGAATTGCAATCTTGTTCCTAATGTCTGCGCCCTCTTTCACAAGGACAGGCATTGTTGTCTCTTTCCCCCCACATACCCCTAATTCCTAAAACACATAACAGAAGGACAGCAAATAATAATTATAGTACCAACAGCAACTCGTGTAGTGCTGCTATTCCAGGTACTTTTAAGCCGATGACATAAATCAACTCCTCTCATTCTCTCAAAAAACCAATGTGGAGAAAGAGGACTTCCTGTTCCAGTGATGTGAAGGGTCCAAGTGTGGCCCAGCCGGTGTGGCTCAGTGGACTGAGCATCATCCCATGGACTGAGAGGTCCCAGTTAAATTCCCGGTCAGGGCACATGCCCAGGTTGTGGGCTTGATCCCCAGCAAGGGGTGTGCGGGAGGCAGCCAATCGTGTATCTCTCATTGATGTTTCTCTCTCTCCCCTCCTCTCTCAAAAAAAAAAAAACAACACAAATAAAACCATATTTTTTAAAACACCTTCAAATGTTTTCTCTCTACAGAAAAGAAGTATAAATTGGAAGATATGAACGATCCCATCAACTGGAAATCAGTCAGGGCAGCACAGCAACCTGAGAAACAGCTCTTCAAGACAAACTGCGGAGACTCGGGTAGGAGCAGCAGAGACCCGCGCCCCCCGGAGCCGGCTGCCCCCCGCCCTCCGCCAGCCCCGGGCCGGACGGGCTGCAGGACGCGCCTGGCTGCAGAGGCCGCAGACTCAGTCTGGCCCGGCAACAGGGCACTAGTCCCTGGTTTCTCCTACAGGAAGTGAGGGATTTCGTTTAGGAAAAGGGGGAAAACCGACAGCTTTTCAAGCCTGAGGTTGTGGTCCAAGTTCGGGGTAAGTGGTAGACCAGCAGAATGTCACAGACAGATCCCAGCAATTAGAGGTCACAGAAGGGCTGAGACGCCCTGACACATCCCTGGCTGACCGAGGAACTGCGCGTGCGTGGTAGACGCTCCGAAAGAACCTTCCTGCGCTAGTTTAGTTTTGCAAAACTGTTAAAAAGCAGTGGTCCTTATATTCTTGGGTTTCAAGAGCATATTTTAAATTTTTGTAAAACACAAAGTCCGTATTTAAAATTTGTTTTAAATATCAAAGACAAAGTTTTCTACGTTTTTTTGTGTTATTTGGTGGAAAGGTTAAGTTAGTTACTGATTAACCTCACTATTATCTACTGTTGATTATGTATTTATAATTTTCTAATTAATCAGATTTATGTGCCTGAGAAAATGTAAGTTACAGGTTCAGATAATGGCATTGCATCAGTATTTCTTTTATTTTTTAATGACAGAGGTGGAGAATAATGTGACATCATCCAGGATTAATTACTTATTTAATTAGGCAAATATTTGCCGAGAGCCTAGTATGTGCCTAGCACGGTGCCAGTCGCCAAGGACACACTGCACAGCAGACCACGTCCGGACTTTGGTGGACCGCACATTCCCATGTGGAAGTCGTGGTAAACAAGGAAAGAATTAAGCAAATATTGATTATAGATTAGTGATATCACTGTGAAGTGACTAAACTAGGCTGTAATGGGGGAAAATAGGACAGAGGACACATTTCACTCTTAGTGGTCAAAGTGAGTTGCTTTGGGGAGTTCTGCCTAGCATGGGCCTTCGGGCACTGCATTTGGAAAGACTGAATTCTAGCTCCTTTACTTACTAATTGTGGGATTTGGGGCCAGTCACAAAACTGTCCTCTGCTTTGGTTTCCTTATGTAAAATGGGAATAGCAGTAGTGTATAACTGGTAAGATCATGTGAGAATTAAGTTAAATGAGTTATTAAATGCTGTGTTTTTTCAAATTAAAATTGAAAATAGACATGACAGCTAAGAAGGAATCAGCTTTGCAGAGAGACCCAAAAGAATTTCTGGTTGAAGAAACAATCATTGCAAAGACCCTGGGTGTTTTGAGAAGCTGCTAGAAAGCCACTCTGCAGGGAGTGCAGAGCATGAGCGATCCAGAGCTATGGGTCGGAGTGAGAGAGAAGGCAGGCGCCCGGTCTGGAATTTGAAAACTAATTTTCTACATTAACATTAACGATGAGTACTAACTCACGTGTTCTGTAAATGAAACAGACTAGTTTATTTGAATCAGAAAATATCTCAGAAATAACTAGAGCTAGCTTCACATTTGTTTTCTCTGGTCGTATATTACAAATGACTTTTCCAACTCATGAGTGAAACTGTCAGCCAAAAAAGTAACTTAGTAAATTGAAAGAAGAAAGAACCAGACACCCAAATCTCTGACACTAGGTGTTACATTCCTAAGGCAACACAAAAGCCACTCGCAAAGCCTGAAACACAGGCTCAAAAGCACCTCTAGAAATGAACATGTCGAGTTTTGTCACCATTGTATTGTCCCATCCTTTCTATCCACTTCACCGACACCCACTGACACATACTTCCACATCCATGTGGCATAAACAGAGCAGAATCTCTTTTTCTTCAATAGATCAACCAACGTTCTTACGAATCATAAAAGGGTAGCTAAATTCCAAATACCAACAATGACTTACATATTTTATCAAAGAAGAAATCTAGGTGGAAAAATTCCAAAATCTCAGAGGAGTTAAGATAGAGAGAGATGGCAGGAAGGCTTCATGAGCAATATAGATGAACTATACCTTGTGCAGCTAATTCTTTCCATCTCTCCTTGTTCTGCTGGATGATGTCCACCAGGTTGTTTTTGAAGCTTTTCAGGTCCACACTTGCAAGAGAGTAGTCTGGGGAATAGGTTCCATCGTTCATGGTGCCTTTCATATTTGATCGTCTAAAGGAATCAGCAGTGTGTAAATACATAAAGGTACTTGAGCTAACAGTAACAATCAGAGAGACCAGAAAATACAAAGATCGGGACATGGGATGAGGGAGCAAAGCCTGAAACACTTTACAAAACCAACTGGAGAAGCAGGAGGGCAGGTGCTCAGGCCCAATTTGAGCACATGTTAGTGCTGCTCACTTCGCTCCTTTCCTTGCTTCACGGAGAGGACCAAGGACTCTGTCAGGGACTCCCAGGGCAGCAGGTTGGGGTGCTCGTTTGTTATACAGTGGAGAGGCCTGATGAGAGCAGCAGACTTGGGGTGAGGTGACTTAGTGAGTCCATTGATGAACATCACCAAAAGGGCATCACAATTCTGGAGCCCCAAGTGGGCAATGGCACCTGCCCTTCCCCCCCATTTAGTCTCCAGGCTAACCTGAATCTTTCTCAGGTAGAACATTCCCCCAGTTTCCTCATTAGGGCAACATTTAGGGAGCCTGTTGGTATGCTATTAGGAAAAACTGTGTGCTCAGATGGCTAAGAATTTAGCATGATTTTTCTGCAACTGGAAGTTTTAAATAACATCCCTGATCAAATTTATCAATTAAAAATTCTGGTTTGGAATAATGTAACTGTATATAAAATGGACTTTATATAGATTCATTTTATTCACATCATTTAAAAGGCACCTTGATAAAGGCGCTTTGATAAAGGCAGCTTTCAAGATATATAAGTGGGTAGTGATTGATTCGTTGGTAAGCACACTAACATAACCAGATATGTTAGCTATCCAGGACACAAAACCTATATTGTCAATAAAAATTTAAATAATTTTATTCTCTTTGGTATTGAATAGTATTATGCTATACTCCTTAGTACTTTGATATTTGTAATGGACATCCGTTATTTCAAAGGCATATGCAATATAATAAACAGCCACTAGGTGGCAATACCATCTAATAGTTCTTATAAGAACTTTCCTGCCTAGATGTAAGAAATAATAATCATAATTAAAAGGTAGTGAAACATCATAAAGATGAAAAATAATGCAAAAAAAAAAAAATCAAACCTGCTTGCTCCATAAGAATTTTCAGTTTTTGAGTCTTCCTCTATAAGAGGAATAATAATTTTCTCTGTTGAGTCTGTCAGAAGAGAAAATGTTGGCTCTACTATGAAATCGATAAAACCTACAAAAGCAAAAAAAGATAAATTCAAATGTTACTATTTACTGAATTCTAAAATTGGTAATAATGAAGACTTTTTGATACTCCTGATAGCAAGTATCAACTATAATATTGTTTTTTTACTCCTTGCAATGATTTTTCTAATAACACAATCTATGGGGATGGTTAACAGCTATATAAAATATTCTCTCAAACAGTGGTAGTGATACAATTTAATCTTGCTAACTCAAGTATATTGGCTTTCCTACTTAATATTGGGCCTCATACTATTGTTAACAATAAATTCAGATCTACCCAGAACTAATATGTTTGCCTTTCTCAATGAGGGGGATCATTATCCTTTCTGAAAGGTCTTCATTTGAGTGTGAATTTTATTATTCACCAACAAGAAATAATATCTAAGCTTCAAATAAATAAAATTAAAGTATTTTCTTAGGCAACAGGAAGGCAAGCACTTCCCCTCCTGTTACTATGTTAGTCAGAGCTTTCTGCCAGTATTTAATATTCCAGATTGTTGTTTATTATTCTGTGGATGTATAGTGTTAGTTCACAGCGTGTGGGCATGTTCTGTCACATCAGCAGAGAACACTCTCATCTCTGGGGGACAACATTAATCTCACCACTTGGAGATGTCAGAATGAATAAAGACTTTTACATTTAAAGTATTCATCAAGATGGAAAATGACCCAGAGAGAATAGTGCACTTACCACCCAGTGTCTAAGTGGAAGAGAACACAACCTATTCTAAGCACGGTGTGCAATCAACTAAAGGTCCCAGGAGAGGCATGGTGCTGGAAATCTAGTGCTTATTTGCTTATTGCCTGAAACACACCTAGAAGCAATGGACTACCATTTGAGTATAGAATCAGTGGAGGGAGGTTTTCTAGGTAACAGTGCCCCGAGCAATATCCACATTTGAAGTGTAGGCCATCCACCAGATACTCGCATAAAAGTAATTCACATTTCAAATAATTGGATTACTCATAAAATACATTGAGGTACATTTTTAATTTTTTAAAAAATTCAATAGTTTTGTGTTTTAATTGGTGCCTTCAAGCCAAAGCAATGTTAATTGGCCAGCCAGGGTGCTGTTTCAAGTTCTGGCTATGGTTTTAAATGCCTGGATGCTGGAGACTGCCAAATAAGAGGTCAGCTGTACTAAAAGAGCAGCAATGTATATTATAGCAACCAGTCTCAGGCACGTCCATTCTTCCCAGGTTGCCTGAGGAGGTTCTGAACCTGCCACACTCACACCTGCAGGACAGGCACCTGTGTATAGTATCTAGAAAGACAGCTGTTGGAACTAGGGTGGGGAGGGGGAAAGGTCAGAGCAAGAGGCTTTGTTACAAAGCTGACTCAGCTTTGTAGGAGGTAGAGCTGGAACAGCTAGGGAGGGAAGGCAGCCATCTAATAGACAGGAAGTAACGCAGATGCTGACTCAGGGAACAATGACAAACATTTGAACTATGCAGCATAGTGATCCTATGCTTTAATAATGGGCAAGACTTGAAGCGTCCAAAACAAATATAAATAAAAAGAATGAAAATGGTTGGGAGCAGTATCATTTTACAAATGTCTTATTGTTGGCTTGTCTATTCATATCATAAGAATTTTTGTCCAATAGAATATAGGCTAGTATATTAAGCATATTATGCAAACAGTGATAACAGAACAGATACATTCTTATTTTCATTGACTTGTTCTATATTCAAAAGATTAAATTACAAAAAACGGTGACCAGCCAAAAAACATCAAAAGAGGCAGTTTCTTCCACACGATTAAAGTTATCCCTTTTTTTCTAAAAGGATTACCAGCAGAATAACAATCACATTGACTAATACTGAGTCACTGAATTCATTTTGTGAGACTGCTTTAATAATTCCTATGATTTCACACCATATAGTTGGGTCTAAACAACAAATTTGTCAGGAATATGGAATAAGGTTTTCATGGATGCTGTCCCTTTGGGCAACATGGTGTGTCCACTGGAAAACTGACAAGCACACACCCCTTCTTCGTGACCACCATCTTCAGTATTACCTATTTGGGACTGGGCCACCATCGTTGAGTTCCGATCACAAAGCGGGGAAAATGGAAGGCCTAGTTCAGCTTCTTTATCTCCCTGCAGAAAGGAAAGCTCATTAGTACAGACTTAGTTTGGAGAAGCTCAGATAACAAGCCGCCTAGACACAAAGCCAAAAGCCACATTTTTCATTTTTTAATTGGCACTGTGTATTTATTTATTTTGATGAAACCAAAAGCATAGTCTAAGTTTGTATAAATCTATTCTGCTTTGAGAACATATTGCAAAAGAAAAAGAAGTGAGCATTTTTCAGAATGTGGAGACTCTGGGTTGGTATTACAGCCCTTTGATTATATAAACCGATTTTATTTGAATCTTCCATAGCAAGTAACAAAGGATATCTTTAACATTCTTAAATTCTGTTGGCATAATTTTATTTAATAATTTTCTCAGGGAAAATTTAAATGTCAATTTATAAAATTATTAATTAATCTTATCTAGGGTAGATTAACTGAGCCCATATGTTAAAGGATTCCGTTTAAATGTTTGGATTTAACATCAGAAGAGCTCATTGGATTTCCATCTCCTAAAATAAAGACAGCTGCTCTGGGTAAAACTGGATTATCACAAGGTTTATCAAACATCAGTTCTTTCCTTTGCATCTGTGCTTACAAAAGAAACAGAGAAGACTTCGCCTGTGCCTGTTCACTTCAGTTGTCCGGCCATTTGCAAGAAGGCTTTGGGATCTACTTTCTCCAAAGCTATTTGTTGTACACCTCCAAGGGGTGCGCTGGCCTTGCCTAAGACCACCAGTAGAGACACGGTCAGGTCCCAAAATCAGGAGACAAAAGGGAGGGGTCTTCACTTCGCTTGCCTGTCAAGTCCATGCAACAACCAACACCTTTCGGAGGACTTCAGAGCTTCCAGCCGCTCTGCTCCTCCAACACCTCCCCGTCATGGTCTTTACATCAAAGGCCAATTAATCTTTTCTGGTGCATTTCCCTTAAACCATGCCTGTGATTATGAGGGGTGGGAAATTTGAAATCAGAATTGTTCAGGAAAATCTAAATATAGTCACCATGCCAGGACAACGCAAATAGGGAATAGAGCTTCCGTGATCTCTTTCAGCGACTATCCTCATTCCCGTAGAGAATAACAGCATCCATCCCATTTGGAATTAATATTTATGTCCATTTTAACGGGCAGGTGAAAGAGAATTATTAGGGTCATTAGCCTTGGAGTCGCAAGACACAGTATTGAATCACTGCTCTCTTCAGCGGGCTAACTCTGTTACCTCAGACATATCATGGTCTTGGCCAAAACCAATTCTCCTCATCTGTTACCTAACTTGGTAATTTGGTTTATTCATTTTAGGAATAAAGATATAATAGTATCTACCAAATAAAATTACCCTGAGGTTATCTAAGATAATGTATGTGAAGCCTAAGGACAGGGCCTAATATTTAGTAAGTAGTCATTACAGGTTAGCTAATAAGAACAATAAACCATAACAGCAAAAGTACAGAGCTGTGAAATTTGAGGTATTTATGATGCCTAATGCATACCTTGAAGGCATTAAGACACAGGAAAAGGAGGGTAGTTAATTTATGTAGTGGAGAGGCATTGCACCCACCTCCCTTTTCTGCCAAGGAACTGACATGGCAGAAATTAGACTTTGGAAAGATTAACTTGTCAGCAGTGTGGAGGATGGCTTGAGATGAATGGAAATGGACTCTTGGCCTTCAAACCTGACTGCAAAGGCGTCTTTGGTGCCACGAATAACAAAGACAATCTGTATGAGGGCTAGATTTGAAGGTTATAATGGATTTGATTTTTAACATGTTGAGAATAAAATGCAAGAATAATATCATTAATACTTCATGTGAAAATATAAATAATGATATTACTATTGTTGAAATAGAAATACACTTCATGGGAAGTGTGACTCGGAGGACACTTATTTGAAATATGTAGTTACAACTGATTTGTTTTATTGTTCAAGGAGTGGCCATCTGATATTTTAATAGATGTGTGTTTATACTCTATAAGTTATTTGTTTGACCTAAAAATGATTGTGTGGGCCTGAAAAAAGCATGGCGATGATTACCTTCCGTGAGCTAAATTTTATAGAGCGCTGGACGGCAATACCAGGACTTGGGCCTTTGACAGATACATGCAGGGTGGACCTTCCAACAGACAGAGTGAGAGGTTTTATTTTCCATTTGCTTCTTGTTCTCTACTATTGATTGAGAATGTAAAATTGCCACTGCTAAGGCACAATGAACATGAAAGATCATCGATTATTTAATTTGTTTACAAATATTTCAAAGTGTTATTTATTCTGTAGGGTGAATAAAGGCTGTGAGCACAGCCAGACTACGAGGCGCCAGAGACCCAGTTGGGTACTACGAAGGGAGAAGAAAAGATACGTAAAGAGAAAGCTAGGGCCCCGGAGTACACATTTGAATAAGTTTCCTTATTCTGTCCCTGAATGGGGAACATTTACTTTCCATCCAGATACAATCAGGGGTCAAGGGCACAGGTACTGTGACGTCAACCAGTTCTCCGTGGCGGTTGTGCTCTCGTCTGACTGTGCTGACTTCAGGGGGCCAAACGGATGCTTTCAAAGAGCTGTAACGTACCGAATACACAGACGTTCTGAGGTGTTGACTCATATGTCATTGGAGCAAAATTCTAGGGCCCTAAAGCCACTGAACGCAATTAATTAAGCAATGCCACTCAGTTACAACCCTGGATTCTGCCCCTGTTCTTGAGGGTGAGCCTGCAGGTGTGGAAGCAGAGAAAGTGACCCTCCGACATGGGACACAGGCCGCCTGCCGTGCTCAGGCCTGACAGCTGTGTCCTGGAGGTTGCTGGGGTTTCTTCTTCGAAAGGCCACAGCAAAGACCTAATACTTGTTTTTATGCTTTCCTGACAGCGTGAAATGCTCTGATAGCTGTCAACAAGGTGTCAATTCCAGTGACCTACTGGCATTTTTTTTTCTTTTTTGCAATTTTCTCTGAAGGCAAACAGTTTCTATAGTTTTAAAGAAATGTAGAAGGTAGGAAAAAGTGAAGTATGAAATCTTGAGAAACCTTTTTGAACTGACACTTAAGTTTTAATCTCAGAAGCAACAGCAACAACAAACATGTAGCAAGTCTCGTGCCACAGGCTTGGAGGCCACTGTGAGGCCAATAGTAGTACTAGCGGGACCCTGAGTTCAACAGGGGAATTTAATTGACATTTAAAAGGAGGGGAGGCAGATGCAATAGTTTCCCCTTCTTTGAACAACTCATTAAAGGAATTTAGGCCACCTAATTACATTCCTGCGTTCCTCCTAAAAATGGCCCTTCTAAATTCTAAGAAAGTCATCAAAACCATTTAAATGCTTAGTGATCATTAGAGCTAGCATTCAGTTTCAGCACAATTTATATGATATAATTGTATTTTTGTGAGTGTTATATTTTACAGAACTTTAGTATGCCTGTGTAATTGTTTAGACTTTCATGATCTTTAAAACTGTAAGCTTTGCTTTTTTTAGTTTTAAGGTGTTACCCTGGCTCACAGCTACAGTTCTTTACATCTACGAAAATGCTTTGGTGTGTCTCTAAACTTGTGATACTAGATCCTTGGCTGAGAATTCACTCTCTAAATACATTTGTATTACTTTGGGACATAAACTTATTTTTAAATAACACACTTTATACCACTTCCAGCAACACTGAAGAAAATAAAGGGGCACGACTGTATACAATTTAGGCTGAAACAATCATTTTGACCTTCCCTTCTAGATAACTTGAATTTCAGTTCTTTGTTTCTCCTTGGCTGAGTTTTACACATATATCTCTTTTTTTTTTTTTCATGTGTCACAAAGCAACTATTTGAAAAAGAGAAAACTTCATTTAGTCATTGGGTTCATTTAATATGAGGTATGAACACTTTTTAATGATAGTGATTATTTTTTTACCTTTAATTGTATTGACTTTGTGTTATCTTGCCAACCTAATATGTCTGTCCAAGAAGAGAATAAGAAGGAAAAACCTGTCTTTCTTCACTGTTGGTTATTTTCTTAGCTGGTATCTCTGATCTCTCAGTAATCTCAGCCGTAGTTGAAATGAACAGAGCGTTTTCCAAATGCACCCATTGCAGACAGAGGGCAGAGGCCGCTGGGTACATCTGCATGAACATTCGGAGGGGGCACTGACTGTGTTGATGACATCACAGCTACGCGATGAAAACTGACTTGGAGATAAGGACCTGCTGTCTATCTCCTTCGCCACCAGCTGCTTGCTCAAGAGGCAAAATAAGAGTTTATCAAGACTGCAAATTCTGGATACAAGTCCGATCTCCTCTCGCTACAATTATTGGTTTTAGAAGTATGCCTAAAGTAGTTACACCAAAGATTGGGGTAACATTGACAGGATTTTAAAGGATAATAGCTTGGTTTACATTGGTTTGTCTTACAGAAATAGATTGTGTTGAAAATTCTTAATGTCTATTTAAGTTCTTTTGTTAGATTAAAAAAAAAACTTGGTAGAGAAATTAATAAGAAATTGATTTAGAAGTCAACACATCCAAAAACTCCTCTCAATTTTTCTGAAACATTAATTCATACATAGGTATATGTACAAACATACTAGTTACCCAGCTGCGTACAGAAGGCAACCAGTCGATGTTCTCTCTCACAATGAGTTTCTCTGTCTTTCTCTTTCTCTCTCCATCCCCCACCTTCCCCTCTCTCTAAGATCAAGAAGCATATCCTGGGGTGAGGATTAAAGAAAAAAAAATGTGCCCTGGCCGGTTTGGCTCAGGGGTTAGAGTGTCGGTCCATGGACCAGAGAGTCCTGGGTTCAGTTCCCACTAAGGGCACATACCTTGGTTACAGTTTGTCCCCAGCCCCGGTTGGGGTGGTGTGGGTGGCAACCACTCGATGTGTCTCTCTTGTGTCGATGTTTCTCTCTCTCTCTTTCCCCCTCTCCCTCCCTCACTATCTGAACATAAATGCAAAAAATAAAATAAAATAAAAAATGTCCTCGGATGAGGATAAAAAAGAAAGAAAAAAGGATTTGTGTGTGATTATGTGGGCACACACGTGCACATAAATTTTCTTATTGCTCTTGATTCTAAAAATCAGTTCCTTTTCTTAAGTAGTTTTGTTGATTTTTTTTTGAATTGATATCATCTCTAATTTTGTTTAAAGCCTATTGAAATGAATTTCCAATCTCGTGCTATATTCTTCAGAGCAGAAAGAAAATGGTTCTTGTAATTAGCCACTTTTTAAAACATCGTTGTGTTAGAATATGTTTTTTAAATTATAGCCAGATCCTTCCAAGTTTGGCTTTAAGTAACTACCAAATACCAAAATATCAATATCTCTCTAATACTTTGCCTTGGAAACATATAAAGCTTAAAACAGACTTGGAGAATTACAAGCAATACCAATTCCTCATGTGTGTACTGTGTCTGTGAGACCTCTCATGTTTATTCTGCCATTGAGTTCCTCACCACCGTCCTGGGAGGTGGCGAAGTGGAAATGATACCGTCTTATCAGTGAGAAGAATTCTCCCTGCTGGAAGGATGGAAAGCTGGGGCTTACACGTGGGTTTTCTGAAGCCAAGGCCAGTGATCTCTTTTTTGCATCATCAGGCTTCTTATGCTTGGCCGATACAGAAACCCTTCTTTAACCAGGAACATACAGTGTCTGCAGGGACCCTGCAGCTAAAGGCAGTGATGAGTTCTAGGCCGACCTTGCCTGATTTGCCTCAAATTCTCTAGCACACAGTGGATCACATGACACAATAGTTAGATTTTTAGTGTATTCCGAAGGAATGAAGGAAAATATTTTCAAGTTACTTTATAAAAGTGCTGGTTTGACTGTCCGAGGTGAAAAGCCCCGGTCACTTGGCTACACAGCGCGAAGGGATCTGTCGGCACTGTGGGTTCTACAAATGACCATTTCACAGGTGGTGTTATGAGGATGAACAGGAATAAGAGAACACATGGAAGAGCCTTTGCAGTCCTGCCGATGTCCAGGACTTCAGCAGAGATACACAGATCCAGTTAAATAACATGTCAAATACACTCAGAGCAAAGCATACACCAAGGAGTTGCAGATTCACTGCTGTATCCACCTCCCAGGAGTAACATATGTGGCTAAGAATGTGCAGGGGACTGGAAGACTCAGTTAACTGAATGCATGAAAGCATTTTACCTGTTGGAGTCAAGGTCATATTTTAGCGTAAGTCTTATAAACTTGCTTTGCTTGTGAAACATGTTTGTTGGCAGTATAAACGCAGTCATTTTGACCTTTAACTCCACATTCTCCTGTTTTACTATATATGTTTTTGAAGGGGATTTGAACATCATTTACTTTTAAAAATCCAGAGACAGAGATATAAGATTTCAGTATTAAAAACTAAAGTCCTGAATCAATTTCTTATGACTCGAGGGGATTTTCCTAGTTGAAGAAAAGAGGCAATGCTAGCAGAGATAGTTTAATTTTCTAATAACCGATATCAACATGGACACTTGACTCTCCTTAAGGCTGTAGGTATATTGCCTTATTCATTAAGGTCATCGAAGCAAAGACTGTCATTTCTGAACATTTCGGGGTCACACAAATATCTGTCATTGTCCACCAGTGTCTTGTTAAAACAAAACAAAAACCTGATACCTCTTTTTTCTAAGTAATAGAATCTGAAAAATGCAGATCACCAAACCAGGTATGATGTTATACCTATTCTAAAACTTGACCGTCTGTGTTGAGTATATTTTAAACATTAATATTCAGATATATGAGTCACTGTTTACTAAGCCCTAAGGATGACAAAGTAGCTAACTAGACTAATGAAACAATTTCCCTCTACCCTGAAATTCAGATGTCAAAAATTATTGCATGTTGGAGGCTTCATTATTAGTACCATTCATCTTTCTATAAAATTCAAAAATAAGATGAACTTCAAAAACATCTGCACGCAATTCTATTGAATTCATTACTCTCCTGATTCTGTCAGTTATTCTCTGGTTTGAAATCAATACAAGACAAAGATAATACAAGTCATGGTATTATTTGGAGATCTATCAGTAATTTTCAAGAATCTCTGGGCTTCAGTAGAGTTATTTTTTTAACATTGTGATTTGTTTTTAAAGCATTCTTTAAGTCATTGATGAAGCACCTTTATTCTGATACATTGTTGTCTAAATCAAGGAAAATGTTATGTTCCAATCTTAACTGTATAAATTATGAACACACTTGTGTAAATAACACCCATTTAAAATATAAACCATTTTCATCACCCCTTGAAAGTCTTCTAGTGAATCTCACGCCATGTAGGCACCTATTGTTCAGATTTCAATCAGCATAGATTCATTTTGCCAGTTTTTGAACATCATATAAATGGAATCACACAGTATGCATTTTTTAAGATTTACTGTTATTTGTATCTAGTCCATTTTTTATTGTTGTATGATATTCCATTATATGACTATACCATAACTTATTTATCCATTTCTGTCTTTGACGCACCTTTGGACTATCTAGTATTGGGCTCTCGTGAGTACTACTCTTATGACTATTCCTATAGAAGACATTTGGTGGGCATAAGCACTAATTTATCTGGATGATACACCTATGGGTAGACATGCAGATCACAGGTATTAAGTTTAACTTCAGTAGATGCTAACCAGTAGTGTTCCAGATGGGTTGGAGTGGTTTATACTCCCACCAGCAATGCCTGATATTGCAGTTGTCCCACTTAAGTTATTTTAGCCATTCTGGTGAGGGTGCACTGGTATCTCATTGTGGTTTTCATTTATTATTCTCTGATAAGTAACTATAATGAGCATACTTGTATATATTTATTACCCACTGGTGCATTTTCTTTTATGAGGTGTCTGATTTTTTTAAATTTTTATTATTGATTTGTAGGTCTTCTTTATACAATCAGGGAACAATCTCTTGGACAGGTATTTGTCATACAAATATTTTTCTCTCACTCTATGGCTTGTCTTTTCTTAATGGTATTTTTGGAAGAGCAGAAGTTTTAAATTTTGCTTTTGTCCACTTTACCACTTTTTTTTCTTTTATAAGTATTGCTTTCTGTGTCTTCTCTAAGAAATGTTTACCTGAGAGACATTCCCCTGAGTTCTCTTCTAGAAACTTTATAGTTTTAGGTTCTGTGTTAAGCCTGTGGTTATTCTTTTTTTAGTTTTAATTTTTTACATCAGATAGAGTGGGAGGGAGGGGGAGAGAAAGAGACATCAATGTGAGAGAGACACATCAACTAGTTGCCTCCTGCAAGACCCCAACCAGAGCCAGGGGCGAACCACAACCGAGGTACATGCCGTTGACCTGAATTGAACCCTCAACTCGTCGGTCCCTGAGCTGATGCTCTCAGCGGTTCTCAACCTGTGGGTCATGACCCCTTTGGGGGTCAAATGACCCTTTCACAGGGGTCGCCTAAGATATAAGAGTAGCAAAATTACAGTTGTGAAGTAGCAATGAAAATAAATTTATGGTTGGGGGTCACCACAACATGAGGAACTGTATTCAAGAGTCGCGGCATTAGGAAGGTTGAGAACCACTGCTATGAGCCAGACCGGCCAGGGAAGCCTGTGGCCATTCTTGAATTGCTGTATGTGGTTTAGTAGAGCACAGGTTCCTATTCTCCCATAAGTTTAATGTGTTGTTTCGTTGCCATTTATGGACTTTTCCTTTTTGCACTTAAATGTTTTGATGTTTTTGTAGAAAATCAAATGACCATACAATTATAGGCTTATTCCTGGAATCACTATTCTATTTAGTTGATCCATTTGCCTAGCTTTATGTCAACAACACATTAGTTGCTGTAACTTTGTACTGTCTCATAATAAGAACGTATAAATCCTTTAACTTTCTTGGTGTTTTTTCAAAATTGTTTTGGCTATTTTAGGTTTTTATATTTCCACGTAGATTTTAGCATTCACTTTTCTACAAGATAGCCTGTTATAATTTTTGATAAGGATTATGCTAAGTATATTAGTCAATTTTGGTAGAATTGATTTTTCTAGCAATATTAAATCTTATAATACATTAATATAGCATATCTCTCAATTTACACAGGACTTTAAATTTTTTTTCTCAACAGTATTCTCTGGGGGCCCACATGGGGCTGGCATCTGAAGTAAAGCCACAGTTGTGGAAGACTAAGCCCTTAACTGGTGGGATCTGATGCTAACTCCAGATGGTTAACATCCTAGCTGTACAGTAGCATTGTGGATGGGAATGGAAATAGAACAGAAACACACACACACACACACACACACACACACACACACACACACAATGCATACTTATAGCAGAGAACACTGGCTATTCCCTGTATCCATAGCCAGGCTGCTTTTCCACATAACAATCAATTTTTTTTTTTAATGTAGGCATGGACCCACACAGCTAAAAACTAGATTTCTCAGCCTCTCTTGCAGCTATGCATACATGACTAAATTCTGACCCAGATGCACGCAGAAGTGTTCTATATCCTCCCTTTCCCCTTTTAATAAGGAAAGTTGTTTGCTCTCTCTACTCTAGCATTTACCTCTTAATAGCAGGAAACAACTCTAATTTTTTGTCTTTCTCTTCCTTTCTTCCTTCTTTCCTTCTTTCCTTTCTTCCTTTCTTCCTTCCTTCCTCCTTCCCGCCCTCCCTCCCTCCCTCTTTCCTTTCTTCCTTCTTTTTTTCTTTCTTTCTTGAGAGTGACATCTGAGATTCAAGACTCGACTCTCCTTAACACATGTATTTTACCACATAGAATTTTCTAACACATTTATCTGAAAGATGAATACATTTTGCCTAAAGTCCCAAAAATGTACTCTAGCCAGTTGATAATAAATCACTTTTTCTATCAAAAATATGTATGTCAATATACACAGTCACTATTGCCAAATATATTTTCACAGAGTGTGAAAGAAGCACCTGTCGGAAGAACTCCTCCATCAGGGCCATGGTCCACCTGTGGTGCAGCTGCCAGCATTTGGCTGGGTGGCTGATGTCTGCCGCATGGAGAATCAGGGACATGGTTTTGGCTCTGTCGATCCTGCCAAACCAAGGACATCATCAAATTATCAGAACAAAGTAACCAATTACAGTTCTATCTGAGTCCAAACCCATGGACTTTACCGTCACAAAAGAAAATAACCTACCCTTCAGGCTGCTGCAAACAGTTTCTTATATTTTTAATTTGCTGGAAGTGACCCGACATGTCTGTAGACAAAACCATTTCAATCACTAGGTTCCGAAGATCCCTGTGGAGTCATCAAAAGGGAAAAGGGTTTATTTGGCCTTTTATTGTTTTTAAGAAGTACGTTTCCTTGAGCATCACTGATTACATTTTATTTTTCTTAATGGATATAAATAGAAAGAAGCTAGTGTTTATGTATATACTAAAACCACCAGAGGAGACAGTGCTTTGCCCAGTCATGCAGGTAGAACACAGCAGAGGTGAGATTCTATCCCAGGAGTTCCCACTCCCAAATTGGCACTTGGACCACTCCATGGTGCCAACCTTCCCTCTTAGAACCCCAGAAAAACCAAGACTCTAAAGTAAATAGGGTTTTTCTGCTTAAGCTTTTGAGACCCCGCCCCTACATGTCATGGAGCTATAAGTACTATTGAAAATGTAACCAATAAGCTGTAAATATGGTGACCATGTCACAAACCAAATATGAATAACTCCTCACACCAAGTAGAAAGTAAGTTGCCCCAGCAAAGGCTTGCAATTTCCACAACTCATTGCTTGCTCAGTACAGACAGATAACGTACAGGGAGGGGTACAAGTAGGCTTATGGTTGTGAGCATATGAAACACAGAAGGTAATATTGTGTTATTATTTATTAATTATTATATTTTTTTCATATGAAAAACTAAACATATTTTGTCCCACCCTGTAGTCACTGATATGGGAAACAAAATTTTACTTTCGTTTGTGGTGGAACCTGTAGAGTAAGCTACCTGAAGATGGCATGATCAAATCATTTGTTTTTTAAAACAACCTCATATTGGAGGTTTTTGCTGAAAATTATGGGTGCTCATTTCAATTGGCTATTTAGATGGAAACCATGCTAGCTTAGAATATTTTTAGCCAAATAGTAAGGGAAGGAAACATAATAAAATTATTCTCCATTCTTTTTTCTCTGAAATTCTGAAGAGACCCACATTTCAATAGCAACTAAGGAATGTTAACTAAGGAAAAATGAGACTAAAATTTTACAAAATCAATGAAATACATTGTGCTTTTCAGATAACTGATCAGTAAATGCTAGATATTATCAATAATCAACTAATATATCAATAAACTAAACAAAATAGTGGACAAGGGAAATGTTGCTTTATAAATTTTTATTTAAAAAATTTATATTATTGCACTTGTGGTTACTAAAGTTACATTAAGAAACAAACAGATAGCCCTGGCCGGTTTGGCTCAGCGGTTAGAGCATCCGCCTGCAGTCCGGAGAGACCCGGGTTTGGTTCCCGCTAAGGGCATGTACCTCGGTTGCAGTTTGTCCCCGGCCCTGGTTGGTCGTGCGGGTGGCAGCCACTCGATGTGTCCCTTTCACATCGATGTTTCCCTCTCTCTCTCTTCCTCTCTCTCCCTCCCACTCTGTCTGTACAAAAAATGGAAAAATGTCCTCGGATGAGGATTAAAAAAAAAGAAACAAACAGATATGCAAAAGAAAACCTACAAGTCCTTATATATCCATACTTTAATTCTTGGTAAAATGTTAAGTTTATACTAGCAAAATTATAGATTTTTGGAAACAATGTTGAATCTATTCAATTCTACAATCTATATGATATATATATAGTATTTGTTTAAAAAACAATTCTATAAGTCAATTAGGATGACTAAGTTACTGTATAGAAATTTACAAAAGAATATAAAAATAAATCATTAGAATACAATATTAAAGATGTTAAAGAACATGTGTAATAGGAAAAAAATTACACAAATAGCAACAGACTCAACTTTGAGAAGGAAAAAGGTAATTCAAAGCAATAATAATAAAAATTAAAAACATAAATGTTACCACTGTGGAATGATAATCACTACTGAAGAAATACTCTAGATATAAATAGTCAAACTCTCAGACCTTAGGAAACACCTTTAAGCTAGTCTCCTGCTTTTCTGATCATTGTAATTAGATAGTTATTAACAATAATACTAGAAAGAGAGCAAAGGGGAGGCCAGACATCATAGCCATGGTCACCTGGGCAGCTTCACCAGGAAGCTGGTTTCACACTACCCATAGAGAACCACCAATCTATTCCCTGCAGATCACTGGGGGAAGGGATCAAACAAAGGAGGAGATGGTGCATGGGCACTGAAGTCTTGGGGCACAGGGTTGATACTCGCCTGTCAGTCTAACCTGGAATAAAGAGAATTGGCTAGGCAGGTAGAGCCACTGCAAGCATGCCAATCCTGAAGGGTTACTTGGCTCAGCTCCTGGTTACAATGCCAGGGCAAGGAGTTTTCTCTCTTCTGCTCTTTTGTGCTCTTGCTCCCTTACACTCTCTTGCCCTGTGGCCCAGTTAGATACTGTCCTTCCTAGGCTGGAAACCCTCCTGGGCTATTTTTTCCTGCAGAATAAAATAGCCTGAACTGGGTTCCCAAAACAAAATGCCCCCTCCCCACCCACCTTACTCACCCCATCCCCCACTCTCATTTCACAGCTGTTTTTCAGTTGCCAAAGTAGCCTTGAAAAACCAGGAACCTCAATATTTGGAAAAATAACTATGGGTAATTAGGACTGTTTTAAAACCTACTTTAACCTGTAACTTAGGTTCTTGATTCCAGGTTACTTTCTTTTGTTTTGCTTTTGTGTCCACCTCCACCTACCCTGGCTCCCCCTCCCTTGGCCTTCACCACACTATCGTCCATGTTCGTGGGGTATGCATTTATGTTCTTTAGCTAATCTCTTCACCTTCTTTATCTAGTCACCCCCTTCCCCTGGGGCACCAGCCAGTCTGTTTCATGTATCCAAGCTTCTTTTGGACATTGTTTTGTACTTTGATTTAGAAGGAAAAGAAAAGAAAACTTGAATATTTGCATTTGAATGGGACACTTTTCAAACTATTAACTGACTTGTAACAAGACAGACTTTTTTTTTTTTTTTTTGGTATAGTAGGTTCCATAGACTATTAGGGACCTACTTACATTAAACAATTTCTTCTCCTTGATCTAGAGATACAACTGCTAAGACTTTCAAACTCTTGGTAGCATTGTGTTGGTTGAACAGTAGGCCATTCTCAGGGCCACGTCACACTCCCTCCCAGGCGCCTTGTCCCAGAAAAGGTTTCTGTATTGTTTGTTTTGTCCACGGCATTCTAGGTCGGAATTGGGAAAAACATCAGAGCGATATGTATTGGAATCTTCAGACTGGAAAGGCTGCAGATGTTTAGACCATCTCCCGTTGATAGCAAGTCCCCATAGTACATTTTGTGTATTGTAAAAAGAAGACATTTGGTACTTTCAAGATGGGTACAATCTGTGCACTTTCATTGTTGAAAGACTCCTTAAAATTGAATGTGAGATTGATCTTCATATTTTTTCCTTACTCTCATCAGTGCCTCAGATACAATGCTGAATAAAACTCAGAAGTAATTTTGCTTATAAAAAAACAAAAACAATCTTATGTGTATCTGAAATTCATGTTTAGCTGGACATCCTTTATTTTTATTTGCTAAATCTGTCAAACCTATAGTAAAATGAAGGGGATGGTGATGGCCAAGAGATTAAGAAAAAAGAGGGAAAAGTCTGCTGAATAAGGGGGTGCATCTTGTTGTTTTTCCCTATGTGGTGACAACCATCACCATTCTACACAACACTTTCTTTTTAATCAGACAGATACTTTGGAGAAATGTCAGATTTATTTCTGCACTCAGGCCATTTTAATATATTATATTTGTAATGTTTTTATCCAAATAGTGAATTTTTTTTTAAAGCTGAACTTCTCATATAGAAAAGTAATATATGAAGGAATTAGTGTGACATAAAACATTGGAATTTGTATAGGACCACATATTGGTAGAATTGAGCAGAGCTGCATTCCAGAGAGTGGTAACTATGTATGTGATAGTATTTGTTTCCTGTATACCATTTCATGGATTGGCTACAATGCATAGAGACGTTGACTTGGTCTGGAAATAATTCCGCTCCACCTAACAGAGCGTGGCTCCTGACCAACATCTTCTAAGCACCAATCTGTCACCCAAAGGGAATTGAGTTTGTAGTGTGAGTAAGGGCTTAGCTTGCATCTCCACCTTAAATCACATAATTTAACTTTTTCATCAAATTAAATTTTCTCTAGGTTTCCTCTGAAACTCACCTCCAGTCATCTTTGGATAAATTTATCAAAACATTCATTTCTTCTTCTTGCATCAGTCGATATGCTGCACTCACATGGTGGTTTTCAAGGACAGACCGATCGTTGTACAAAATGGCAACGTCTGACCTGAAAATTAAAAAGAAAATGCCTAGTAGAGGATTTCTTTACATTCGTGAGTGTCTAATAAAAGCACTCAAGTCACAAGACATCACATCAGCAAAAACCGTATAATCAAACACCTGCATTTATGGAAGTACTTGTCTTCCTTTTTTAAAAATTTAATATATGACATTTTTTTGTTTGTTTGTTTTTAATCCTCACTGGAGGATATTTTTTTATTTATCTTCAGATAGATTAGGAGGAGGGAGAGAGAGAGAGACATCAATGTGAGAGGGACACATCGACTGGCTGCCTCCCACATGACCCTGACCAGGGCCAGGGATGAACCACAACCGAGGTAGGTGCCCTTGCCCAAAATTGAACCCACAACTCATTGGTCCATGGGCCGATGCTCTAACCGCTGAGCAAAACCAGCCAGGACAATGTATAACTATTTTTTATTTTTTTTATCCTCATCCGAGGACATTTTTTGTTATTTGTTCAGATAAGGTGGGAGAGGGAGAGGGAGAGGGAGAGGGAGAGGGAGAGGGAGAGGGAGAGAGAAACATGGATGTGAAAGGGACACATCGAGTGGTTGCCACCCACAGGACCCAACCTGGGCCTGGGACAAACTGCAACTGAGGTATGTGCCCTTAGCAGGAACTGAACCCAGGTGTCTCTGGACCGCAGGTTGATGCTCTAACTGCTGAGCCAAACCGGCCAGGGCTGTATGACAAATTTTTTTAAATAAATTTTATTTTATTTATGTTTTGGTACATGCCCCTAGCGGGAACTGAACCCGGAACTCTCTGGTCCGCGGGCCAACGCTTTAACCGTTGAGCCAAACTGGCCAGAGCAACCAGTGATCTTTTTACTGCCTCCATAGTTTTGCCATTTCACAATTCTTTTTAGTACTGAGTAATGTTTCGTCTGGATTGATCATAGTTTATTTATCCATTCACCTACTGAAGGACATATTGGTTGCTTCCAAGTTTTGGCAATTTTGAATAAAGCTGCTATTAATATCTGTGTGCATGCTTTTTGTGGACATAAGTATTCAGATCCTTTGGGTAAATACGAAGTAGCGTGATTGTTGGATCATATGGTAAGAGTATGTTTAGTTTTATAAGAAGCCCTCAAACTGTCTCCCCAAGTGGCTGCACTATTTTGCAATCCCACCAGCAATGTATGAGTTCCCGTGGCTCTATATCCTCGCCAGCATTTGCTGCCTTCATGGTTCCAGATTTTGGCCAGTCTAATAGATGCATAATAGTGTCTCATCACTACTGTAATTTGCATTCCACTGAAGACAGAAAAACGGTGTGGAGCCTCTTTTCATATGCTTATTTGCCATCTGCATATCTTCTTTGGTGAGGTGTCTATTAAACTCCATTTTTTTCATCAGAGTGTCTTCTTATTTAACTTTGTGTTTTAAGAGTTCTTTGTATATTTTGAATAGCAGTCCTTTATCAAAAGTACCTTTTATAAGTATTTTCTCCCAGTCTGTGGTTTGACTTCTAATTTATTTTTATATTTTCTTTCACAGAGCATACGTTTTTAATGCCAGCATATAGGAAAGTGATAAACTGTATATCATGCAACCTTGCTAAGATCAATTGTTAGTTCCAGGAGTTTTGTTTTGCTTGATTTTGGGGGGGTTTTCTAAATAGACTATAATGTCATCTGCAAACAAAGAGTTTTGTTTCCTTGTTTCCCATCTGTATGCTTTTGGGTGTGTGTGTGTGTGTGAGATTGAATTAGTTAGGATGGCCAGTATGATGTTGAAAAGCAGTAAGGATAGGGGACAGCTTTGCCTTGTTCCTGATCTTAGTGGGAAAGCTTCAAGTTTCTCACTGTTGGGTAGGGTGTTAGCCATAGGTTCTTTGTAGATGTTCTTTGCCAAGTGGGGGAACTTCTCCAGTCCTAGTTTACTGAGCATTCTTATCATGAGTGGGTGTTGAATTTTGACAAATGCTTTTCTTCATCTTTTGATATCATCGTGTGACTTTTCTTTTTTAGCCTACTGATATGATAGGTGACCTTAATTAATTTTCAAATATTGAACCTGAGATAAACTCCACATGGTCTTGGTATTAAACAACATAGTTTTAATGCATTTATGCCCTCTCTATTTTGTAACACAGATACCTGTGAGATAATCTAGATATACTGAGAGGGAGAAAAAATTACCTAATGTTTTTATTCACTCAGTGAATGAATCAACCTCTTTGTCCCCCTTCCAGATAGTTGATTTTCACCCCTATTCTCTGAAACTAAAATTACTTTAGGCAGAGGGCAGAGGGGATGATGAAAATCATTTGATCTATTTATGATTCTAATTTTTCTCCCTTATAATGTTGTGATTTGATTTAGATATTATATTCTCTAGCATTAAATTAAACTAGCAAAACCACTTTTTAAACAAAATTTAAAATGTATATTTTACCATCAATGTATAATGAACATTATATTTTTAAATGATGAATTTATCGAGGGAAGCCTTTTATTTCTCAACTGTCTGTTTTTTCATATCATTTGATCATCAAATAAGCTACTCAAGTTGCATTGTTATATTTAGTATGCCAGCACAAGGTGTGGGATACTCCAGCACTCTCATGTCTGTAACGGAGCCCTGCTGCTTCTTCCTCCTCTCCTTAGGTTGCCCAATCATTCTGAACGTGTGGAACGGAAGCAGAGCCACTAGGTTCAACAGGATGCTGAGAATATATTCAAATGGTGAACCCATTCTTGTAAGTTGGCAAGTTGGAGGCGGGAGGCAAAAATAGCAAAAGGAAAGTCAAGGTGAAACCCACAGCAACGTTCCACCACTTCCCCCTGTAGCAGGCTCTTCTCACTTTCCCTCCCTCCCGGGAGACACATACTCTGTCAGCCCTAAATTTGCTTCACCAGGACTTACTGTTTTGGGCTTTTTAGTGGGTACAGCCTTAGTTATCACCTAGTACTGACCCGATCACTGAATGCTCACCGGAGAGTAGGCAAGGACAAATCAAACAAAGAGCTACCGGAACCTGGCTCCTGTTCCAAGCAACCCATTTGAGATAAACCAGGCTTTACGATTACTCCCGCAGAGGGGAAATGACCTATCAGGCCACAGAAAGATCACTTCCCCTTTGTTTCTAGAACTTTATCAAAGTGGAATAATATGCAGTTAGCTAATGGTACATACCTCCAAAATAAATTTTCTTTGAATAATGTCAGCTATGGCCTAAAAATTACTTAGCCAATAATCATAGCTCAGCACAAAGAAAACTGAGCTGACAAAGCAGACATTCAATTCTTATTTAAGAGAGAATTAAACAGATCTTGTCCAAGTACCTCCAGAAGTTTGCTGAGACCATGGGAAAATCTACAATTGGGAAACCAAATATCATTTATATGGCCTCAGATCTAGTCATGGCAGTTTTGCCAGGGTTATTAAAAGATATGACTCCAAATATCACTGTCTTTTCCTTTCACCAACAAGAAAATGTGTTTTTGAACTAGATTTAATCGTAGCAAAGTATGTATAATTTTGTCTCATAAATTGAACAGGATGCTGAGAATATAGCACAGTCTTAATGTTTGAGATGGTCTTTGACTGCTAAGAAAAGAACAAGACTCTAAGCAACATCCAGTATCCATGGTAACATAGCCCAGCATTTTCTTTTCACAAGGAAGAAATTATTTTCATTTATTTACACATGTAAGGATTTCATGAATTATAATGTCTATATTAAATTGAAAATTGGCCTTGTATTATGTTTTAAATTATTCTTCAATCATTTTTTATTATCACTAACATAGACTTATTTCTCCTTAGACAAAATATGAAGGTGATAGCGAGACTTTTAAAAAGTATGTTATTCTGTTGCATTTGTGGTCACTATAACATTTTTGTTCATAGAATTTTTAAGTTCTTGTAAAATTAACCCATTAAATAATGGATCCAAGTATATAATTTGTAAGGAAAAAGTAAAATACTAGAACTTTCCCCCTTTATAAAGATTTTAAAATATAAAAATAGAAAAAAGTATGGATTCTTCCTCCTTTTCTTCCTCTTCCTTCTCTTTTTCATCTCCATCCCCCTCCCTGCAGGTCAAAGTGCAAGTGAATTAGGACTGTCCATTCAGTTGTAAATGGATGGCCAACGGAGAAAGCTAGAAGCATCTAACACTGCCGCTGGAGAAGGCCAGTCCATTGCCTTCACTGTCCAAAGTAGAAGAACAAGTATCCATCTGTACCAAACCACTTGCTCCTTTCTCCAACTCCCAAAACTCTTGTCCTATACAGGACCAGGCTCAGTAATGAGCTGTCTTCAGTTAAAACCCCACTCACTATGGATTTGGTGGATGTAGAAGAGGCTTTGATAAGCCAACATGGTATCTGCATAGGCTGCCTTTCCTTTGCTCTTTAACACAAATAAAAACAAAACAACTTCCTTTACTCTGCAGACATTCTCTGCTGCACCAGGTTCAGGGTCCCCCGCTTCCCTTCATGCTCTGTCAGTCAGTAGGACTCTGGGGATAGACAGAATACCTTCCCAATATTCCACTGTTTGAATTTCAACTCTTCTTCTGTCTTCATCAAGGTGCTATGATTTCTAAGCCCATCCATTTCAGGCTATAAAGGATTGGGACCATCATATGTGTGTCTCTGGCCACGGGCACAGGGTTGTGTAAACAGGTGATTGAGCGTGAGTGTCCTTCCAAGCTTCTCATTTGTGCTGCTGCCATCAGTTGACTGTGTGAATGTAAATAGGTCATTTCACCTCTTGAGATCTTTGCATTTTCTTCTAAGACTGTGAGGTTTAGACCATGTGATCCATAATGTGGATCTCAGCCACTTTAGGATCCCTTGAAGCTCTAAAATGTCTAATATTTTATAAAATGTTTCTATGCTTTTCACATCAAAACAGTAACTTCCTATACCTGGAAAATCAATTGTTAGAAATTGCTATTAAAAAACAAATGAACAGCCCTGGCCAGTCTGGCTCAGCGGTTAGATCCTTGGCCTGCGGTCCCGAGTCTTGGGTTTGGTTCCCTCTAAGGGCACGTACCACGGTTGCAGTTTGTCCCTGGCTCTGGTTGGGTCGTGAGGAAGGCAGCCACTCAATGTGTCCCTTTCACGCCAATGTTGCTCTCTCTCTCTTTCTCTCTTTTCCTCTCCCTCCCTCCCACTCTATCTGAACAAAAAGTGGAAAAATGTCCTTGAGTGAGGATAAAAACCAAAAAATGAACAGACCACATAAAACCTGCACACACGAATGTTTATAGCAGCTGTATTCAAAAGAGCCAAGGCTTGAAAGCAACCAATATATCCTTCAATAGGTGAATAAGTAAGTAAACTCTGGTCCATCCAGACAATGGAATATTATCCAGCTATGTAAACAAATGAGCTGTCAAACTATACAAAGACATACAGGAGCTTTACGTGCATATTGCTAAGTGAAAGAAGCCAGTCTGAAAGGCTTCCTACTGTATGATTTCAGCTATATGACATTTTGGAAAAAGCAAACTATAGAGACATTAACAAGATCAATAGTTGCCATGGGTAAAAGGGGAGGGAAGGAGAGAAGAATAAAAGGTGGAGCAAGGAGACTTTTAGGGAAGTGAAACTATTGTGTGTGTTACTTTAATGCTGGATACATGGCATTATTCATTCGTAAAACCCATACAATGTATAACACAAAAAGTAAATCCTAATGTAAACTATGGACTTTTATTGCTAATTATGTATCAACAATTGTTATCAGTTGTGACAAATGTATCACACCAGTGCAAGCAGTTAACAAGAGGGGAAACTGTGGGTTGGGGGAGGGAGCACATGGGAACGTTGTGCTTTCTATTCAATGTCTGTAAACCTAAAGCTGCTCTATAAAATAAATTCTATTCATTTAAGAAAATGAACACATAAAACATAACTAGGTTTAGTTTTCCCTCAATAAGACTAGAGAGTTTTACAGTGGTTCCAGAAAGACATCAGTCTCTCATCTTAAGCATATCTGACTAGTGAAACAGAAATTTCAGGAGCATAATTATGCGTATAAACTGAGTTGGATCCTGATGGGTCCTCAACTAAATCCTGCCTCTCAGGAGAGGAGATTTCTGTGCAACCAAAAAAATTTAGAGCACCTTTCTGTTATGGACCGACTTGCATTCTCCCCAAATTTACATGTTGAAGTTCTAATCCTCTAGTACCTTAGATTATGACTATATTTGAAGGTAAGGCCTTTAAAGAGATCACTGGTGTTCTTACAAAAGGAAGAGACCAGGGATGCTCACACACAAAGAACTGGGAGGACACAGGGAGAGGCGGCCGTCTGCAGGCCTAGGAGAGGCCTCAGCAGAAACAAACCTACTGACTCTTTGATCTTGAACAGTTAGTCTGTAGAACTGTGAGGAAATTTCTGTTACATAAACCACCCAATCTATGGTATTTTGGAATAGCAGCCCTGATAGACTAATATATTTCCACTTTGGTATTTTTAATCTAATAACTGCCATTATAACCATTATTTTTTTAAAATCACATTTTCTATTTATTTTGAATTTAACACCTCATGCTCACCTGGAAGCTAGATTTCTTTGATTTTTAGATTTTCTTTCAGGAGTGCCATGTTATTACTTTCAAATACATAATAACACTAAACTGATGCCTTAGACAATACGTTGCAAGTTTTGTCTCAATAAGTAAATGTCTGACTCATGTGACAGTTCAGAGTGTAAATTCTGGGCAGAAAACAATTATATTACACATCTTTATCATCTTTCAATTGCTAAATTGGCCACAGTATACAAAATTCTTGATAAGTAATAGCTGATTGAAGTGTTTACAGCTTTAATAAATTTTGCTAAAATTTATTCAACCTATTTATTAGACATCATTATTTTTTAAATCTTAAAATAATATGAAGAAAAATAAGTTTCAAGAAAACGTACCACTTCATCGAGCTTACCTTGTCTGAATATGGAAGTTGTTTGTGGTTCCCGTATGCTCATAGTCATGAATGGCGGCGGCAAAGACCATTGCTAAAATTTCCAGTTCCGTGAGCCAGTGCTGGAAAATCAGAGAAAGATTCCAACATGAAAGCAGAGGCCATATTGTCTTTCCACAGAAGAGATTTTCAGTGCACGCATAACTAATCATATAAAATTGTTTTATTGATTTTAGATCAATTTCTCTTTCACCTCCATTAATTGTGCATAATAATGAATGCTCCATGAGGTCAATGATTGTTTCATATCTTGTAAGTTCAAAACCTAGACGATATAATTTTCTTTGCTAATTGAAAAAAAAAAAAAAGTAATTTTCTGATTTAAAAGGTGAACCCTGACTAGATTTTGAATTCATAGCCTTATCAATTTGGGTTCTCATGAAATCAACTACAGTTAAGTGAATTTTAACATACAGCTCATATATCAGTCAAATGTCTTTTAGCTCAACTTTTGTAGAAGACCTTACTATGAGAAAATTTTCCATCTAAGAGTTGAAAATATTCACTTTGCTTTTTAGAGAAACTGAACTTGGTTTTTATATTTAAAGATTTAGAAGAGTTTCCAAGGATTTACCAATTTTACTCTTCATAATACATATATTCTATGACTGTGCAATTAAACTTAATTAGAATTAATAAATAAATGCTTTCACATGAGAACCAGACAACCTGCTTCATATACACTGACATTTTTGTTATCAATTGGATGGTTTGGTGAAATTTCACTATTTTAAGTCCATTTAAATAACTCAATATTCTCTTTATTACTCACTGTTTTGCATAACACTTTCACTGCTCTGTCCAATATAACCACAGGTGACTACTTAAATTTAAAACAAACATAATTCAGTAAAATTAGGTTCCCTTTCTTAGTCACAGCAGCCACATTTCAGCTGCTCCATCATCGTATGTGACAAGAAGTGTCCATATGGAACAGTGCAGATACAAAGCATTTTCATCACCACAGACAGTCCTACTGGACACCACTGCAATTCTGTCATAGGAATGGAGGACACAAAAAGACATGAATCTTGGTCTTAGTAGTCTCCTTCCATACACTTGAAATAATTAAAGACCTTGCACAAGCAACAGAAAAATATATAAACTACATGCACATTTGATAAAAGGTCACAGAATACAGGTGCAACGCAAGGGCAGAAACAATGTCTATTTTGTGGCAGTGGATCTTGAAATTAGGTTGACGGAGATTGGCAGGTAGATGCAAGGTTGGGAACAGAGAGATTCTGAGTAAAAGAGCGAATGTAGAATGACACTGCAGAAATGTATATGAACATGGAGTTGCCTGTAGTGCGGTTGTGTTGGAAAGTCAAGTGAAGTGAGATGGAAAATAGTGCAGAGCGTGGGAAAGAGTTGGTAGAGTGCCCTGGTTAGAGCTGATAAATCTGAACTTTGTATGAAAGGAAAGAGGGAGCTATTGTAGGTTCATGAGGCCAAAAATGAAGGAAGTGACAACTGTTGTGTCTCCTAGTTGTCAAAGGCATGCTCTTTTTAATCTTTGCTCCTTTCATATAAGCTATCATGGCATTTGGTATGTAGTAGGAACTTAATATTTGCCTGCTGAATTGAATTTAACCAGTCTTGCATTTTGAGGAAGTAGTAAGGAGTAGTTGGTGAAGCTATGAAATGAAACAATCTTGGTTTTAAATCTTTGTTAATCCTTAGACAAGGAAGTTATTTTCCCTTTCAGCCAGTGATCATTCCCTGTGGCTTTTAAAAGAAGTTCATAGTCAATGTATGCACTATGCCTATTACAAGTCTTGTCATATAGTAAAATACAGAATAAGTGGCATTTTACTACACTTATCTTAAATACACCGTTTAAGTCATTCAATCTTGAAAATAATGCTGAGCTAACATCTTTAGTGACTGCAATTCAAGAATAAATGCCTCACAAGTGGATGACTGAAACAAAAATGATTTTCAGAACCAAAGGGAGTTGATTTAACTAGCTTTTCTATGTTTATAGGTGCATTTAATTGTGAGTCATTAAAAGAAAGAAAATGACCACATTAAAGGCCTGTATCATAAGCTGAACTGGGATTCAGCTTCCAATGTCCCCATTGAGACTATGGAATTAAGCACCATGAAATGAATAGCAATTGAAATTAAACCAGTTTTTTTTTACTCCCAGAAATCCATTGTGTTATTAAAGAAAATTGTTCCTAGAAAAAAAAAATCACATATTTCCTTATTGATTCTATTTAAGATTTACAAATTTAATTGTGATTTTTTTTTAAAAAAGCAACATACAATAATTGCTACAATATCATAGACTAGGAAACTAAAATGGTAAAAAAATATTAAACAGAAAATAAGAAATTGATATTAGTTATAGATTATCTTGTAAGTATTTAAAATTATTATCTTCCACCCTGGCTGGTTTGGCTCAGCGGTTGGAGCGTCGGCCCCAGACCAGAGAGTCCTGGGTTTGGTTCCCACTAGGGGCACGTACCAACATCAACAACAACAAAAATTATTATCTTCCTAACTATCAATATTTATTATATATGTATTTGCTGTTTTTGGTTTCATTAATCTCTACCTCTCTTAAATAGTATTTTCTCCATGAATCCTCTTATGTATGTATTGTCACACTATAGTCTTACTAATAAAGTTCACATTATAAAGCAATTTTGGAAGAGAGAAACATTGAGCTTTAACAGTTAATTAAAAATACATCTGTTTTGTATCAGCGAAAGAATTTTGAGCTTATTTTTAGCTTCTTAGTTGCGGATTCATTTTATGCTGGTATCAAATGAGAATTCTGACTCAGAAAATGGATGCTTAAATTCATGGCCTTTGTAAATGATTCATGAGGATGAGCCAGAGAAAAAGAGGCTGAATCATACCACTCTTCCCAACAGAACAGTGGTCAGTACTTAACCTGGTTCTTCTGATTCCTGATGAGCAGAAATACAGGGTTAAAATGACGAGGAATAAGCAATATAAGACTGTGCTTCATGGACCCTGAGGGCTGCAGTTTGTCTAAAGAAATGCTCAGGTGACGTTGCTCTCAAATGGGAAGTCCTCAGATTATTTTTTGGGAGACATGGTTGCCATTAATATCACGTACGATGATGATGAAAGAGAAGAAAAAGGAGCTAACATTAACTGAAATTTTTAATTTGTTGGTGCTATTTGATTTTAATAATTATCTTATGGAAGGTAAATATATGTATCCCTATTAGGCAGATAACAAAGCTGAATTCTCAGGAAAGGACTCAACCTGACAAAGGTCACCTAGTTCTCAAGTGGCAGAGCAGTGATTTGAAGCAAAATCTGTCTGATTCAAAAGTTTTTGTTCCTTCCACAGATCACAGTATTTCTTCTATGAATGACAACAGCATTATAGTATTTGTTACTATATAGCATCAGGGGAGGCAATATGCTGAATGCATTCTTGTACAGTTTCAAAAGCAGAATTTCCAGACAGTTTAACCAGATATATTGATGAATAAAAGTTAATAGAGCTTTGATTTAAGATGCAGGATGTTAATTTTCATAGCTGAATTATTTAGAGCGTGTGTGTGTGTGTGTAAAAGAGAACATATGTCTGTCTAGGGCCGAGAGAATTTCAAGTTAGGAAATCATATTGATCTATAAATTCTGGAGTGTCCAAAGACCATCATTAACAACCCTTTTATCCTAAATTATAGGGTTGGACACTTTTTTTCTCTATGCCTTTGAATAAACTGAGATAGTTTTCTATAATTTACTTAGTATAGAAAGCACGTATATTATAATAATAACACATAATACATCTAATTTAATATACATAATATAATATATTAATATTTTTTATCAGTATTAGCGTACGTGCTAATAGCTATTATATTTCAGGCACTAGGTTAGGGACTTTACACAGATGATATAATTGACTCCTCACGGCCACACTATAAGGAGCTCAGTATTACTAACTGCACTTCAGTGACAAGGGAACCAAAGCAGAGAGCGAACAAGCTAGGACATCGTGCACCAGGGTTGCGGACCATCTCTGATGGCTTCCAAAGCCTGCCCTCTTTCCACTCTTCCAAAGAGTGTTGTCTGGGAAGTAGTGTACAAGAACAGAATTTCCGCAGAGCGCAGAATAGAGGCATGATGGCAAGTTTTCTGCAGATTGCTTGGAGGAACACTGAGTCATTTCAGTGTGGGAGGCTAGTTCTGGGTGTAGGAAGTGGACTACAATTTCCACAGGAAATAGGTATCAGGCCATCTCCTCTTTGACTCAGCGTTACCGAGAACACAATGTGAAGCAAGGGTTCCCTCGCCCTGGCGCCGATGACTTCACTCAGAGACCTTTGGAGGTGGCTCGTCCGCGCTCAGTGAAGCCTTTGCTCTTGGCTAATGGGCGAGCTCCCCCTGCCACTGTCGCTGGGACACAGGCTGCAATGAACTCTGGCACCAAAGAGAGCGGAGGCTGGGAAAGCAGCGGGGCTCCCTCTGCAGCGCCCCTCCCAGGCCTCGCTGACAAACTGCAGGACCATCTCGGGCCCTCCCAGCCAATGTCCTCCGAACCAGGCGGCGCCGGTCCCCTTACAGTGTCGGGCCGATCCGTAAAGCCTCCCTGATAAGACCATTCTGAAACTGCAGAAAAAATCAACGGAAACTCTAAAGTTAGTGATATTTTATAATGATTTGTTGTTTTAAAGAACCGACACATTTATATGTATGGAAGTTACTACTCACCTACCACCACCTTATTCACCTAAAGAAAAGCTTTTCAATATAACTGCCCAGAACCTGTCAAGCTGGCAGTGTAACTCAGTTTTGATAAAATCGCCAATAAGTTTGTACATTTATTTTTCCTTTCCTTTCCCCCCGCCAGGACCTTTCTCTCTACTCCTTTAGTTCAAGCGAGTCCCGGACCCGGGACAGCGTGGAGCCCCCGCCAGAAGGTTTCTCTGTAATGGCCACGCGGGGCTAAGCAAAGAGCCCACTGGTGCTTTTACTGCTAAAGGACGAGTAAAAGTATACACAAGTTTTCAAATCAAACTTGCTAAAGTTATATTAACAGTTAGTAAGTCACTGTCTTCATCAATAAGTGATGGCTTAATCTTTCCTAATAACTTCGACTTTCTGTGAGCCCTGCCAGGCTGGGCCAGTTACCCCCGCCTTGCACAGAAGCCGGGCTCCTCGTTAGAACCTGGACCCGATCTTCCTGGCAAGTGGGAGGGTCAAGTCACACCGCGTATTTGAATTTCTCTATTTACCCACTAATACAACATTCCTCGGCTCTTCAACGTCACCTTCAGAACAGAGGTTCTGAAGCTGAAATGGGACACTTTTACTCAGCTCTCTTTACACTTGTGACCCCTCAAAAAAGTACTTAAATGAAACATATTTTTAAAATTCTGGTTACCCACTCCCCTGAGCTGAAATGGCATATACCTTTGCATTGTTCTGCAAAACGTAAGCAGATATTTTGTTATATCAAAGTAGGCATTACTTTTCTATTCCACCTTGTTCTGAAGAAACTTGATCAATTCAGTTTCCATTAAAGAGTAAATCTTAACTATTTCATTTTCAGTTGACTTTTTCAAAACAATAGAATTCAGAAAAAAAAAAAAAAAACTTGTAATGCATGCCACTTCACTATCAGATTCAAGATCAAGGCCTTAGGAAGGAAGAAGTAAGCAGCTCTAACCAGGAAGATATTAAAGGAACTTTTGCAAGTATAACAGCATTGACAGCTGTGGGAGGGGGGGGCACTCTGTTTATCACATTAATTGCCATGCATATCAAACCAAGTGAAAGCAGAATTCAAGAAACAGCTGTGAGGATGAAGCCTTGGAAACCGAAAGAGCTTTAAAAGAATATCTGTGTGTAATTGTGTGTAATGCACGTGAACACATGCTAGAAAGAGAAACAGGTGTAAAGAAGTTTACAGCCGCCCATGTGTCCCAGTGGTTGAGTGTCAATCCATGCACCAGGAGGTCGCCCATTCAATTCCTAGTTGGGGCACATGCCCAGGTTGTGGGCCCGATCCCCAGTGGGGGGCATGCAGGAGGCAGCCAATCAATGGCCTCTCTTATCGATGTTTCTCTCTCTCTCTCCCTCTCCCTTCCTTTCTCTCTAAAATCAATAAAGAAAAAATTTTTTTTTAAAGTTTACATATACTACTTTGAAAAACTTTCACTATTTTAAAGTTATATTTTTGAATCAGCTCAAGTTTCTACTTATTATTGGTAACTTCTCTTTCCTCCCTTTAAATGTCAAATCAGACTCCTAGAATGAATGGTGAACACACTGAACAAAGGACCAGGTCCTGCCATGACTACACTTGATCTGGCCCAATGGGCATGTTTACACCTTAATTCAGTGATGCTCACATATATAACTCAAATCAGGAACACACAAGTTGAGGGTAACAACACACAGAGAAGCCTCCTAGAAGGTCACAAGAGACTCATGCCACTGCATCAGTGAAGAGTTTTGAGATTTCTACCTCCCTTCAAATAGGACTTAATTCCAAACCAGGTTATATTACTTTGCAATCTCATCATAAGTACATCAAAAGTACATATTTTTATTGAATTCGTATTGAGATTCCAAGAAAATTCTTTATGAAAAGACCAGCTGAGCTCCCAGACATTAGCCATTCTCCACTGCCAGCCATGTGAGGGGACCATCACGGACGTCGTGCCCAGTGATGTCTTCATCACAGAGGCAGATGCTCGCTGACTGAAATCGCAGGAGAGACTCCACATGAGAGCCTTCTGGTTGGGACCCTTCTAAGCACAGACCCTTGAGAAATATTAATATATTATTGTTTTAAGCCACTAAGTTTGGGGCGATTTGTAATGCAGCAACAGGTGACTGGAACCCGGGGCAGCAGTGTGATCTGAACATAGGGCACTGATGGATCTGCAACATTTTGGAGGCAAAGAAAGATGGAAAAGAAGAGACAATTTCTTTAGTCATCACATGAGATGCTATTGGATGAATCACAGCAAGTGAGTATGTGTAGTAAGCAACATTCTATGGTTTCTTGGGGGAAAATGAAATAATGATGAAAATTTTCAATATACAATAAATTTGAAGAATTATGAACTTGTTATAAGTCTTTAAGATTGTCAGGACAACCTACTGTGTGTGGTTCTAGGGGCTTTGCTTGGCACCAGGTTAGGAACACAGTTTCTGGTGTAGAAAGAGGAGTATTAATGTCCTCTGGGCCCCCCAAAAGTGCTAGTTACATAGTGCCAGTGACCCTTGCCAGTAGAATGGGTGTGACTTCTGATTTCTAAACAGGTGGGCAATGCACATCATGGGGCTTAGTGGGACATACTCCTTACATGTGCTTTACGGTACTGCTGCAGCCTAGGTTGACCCACGAGGAATCAAGAAGGTACTAAGATCCGGGGATCTCATATGGCCTCTACCCCTTGAACCCATCTCAGTTTGGAATCTGCAGAAGAGCTGCTTCTCTCTTCTCACGTGGGAGTCAGCTAAACTCCGAGACATTTCAGAAACCAGGCGATCTCATGATTCCTGTTGTCTACTCTTTGTTGTCCCAAGGTTTGCATTGCTGAATCACTTATTTACTTATCCATTGGTTCATTTACATGCAAAGAAGAGGAAGGAAATTTTGGAAAAAATTCAGGTGAATAATTTCCCAAAACTGATTAGGATTTGATTGTGATCAGCAATGTATATAAAAGAGAAAAGGTTGCTGAGGTCAGCGTAGAAGAACACAATGATCTGAGGGAAAGGCACTGCAACTAATTTTCACTCCAAAGACTTTCTTGTGGCCACTGCTTCCCCCCTTGGGTGATTACTGTGGGAAAAGGAATTTACAAACAGAAATGTGCCACGGTCCAAATTTTGGAAATTTTCATTTGCCTCTGGGTATTTTTTTTTCACTTTTTGAAAAATGTATGGTACAGATAACTCATTAACCCTCAAAAATCCAAAAGATTATTACTTAAAATACTTCTATGGGCATTAAAGAGATAATGAGAACATAGGGGAATAGAATTTGATGTTCCGAACTAACAAACATCAGTTACAAAGCCTTTCTTACCATGATACCTGTGTGAAGCATTATGTAATGCACAGTTTGAGTGACATCGGCTGCGTGGATCAGATTGTGATAGGGATTTTTGTACTTGCTGTAACCAACTTCTAAAGCTTCTGCAAAGGCAATTAGGCAAGAAACAGGAATCTGCAGAAAGTAATAATCATTATTATAGTTTACCAAAGTAGCTCTAAATCAACATGAACACAACAATTTTCGGGAGGGGACACATTAGTGAGTCAGGTGTGGGCAGTCATTTCTTGAAGTTCAATGCGGACTGTTCTGAAAAACCACTTCATCAACTCTATTGCAATCATGAAGTGTTTAACTACGTTAGATGAAATAACAGTCTCACCCATACTGTTTTTAAATGTTTATATCTTCCAAAGCCAAGTCAGAAGTCTAGTTCTTAAAAGGGTAAAATTTCCCTATTAGAATTGGTGAAGTCTAGTTTTTCTAGCTATGATACTGTTATCATAATTAGATAGCTTATTAATAATAATAGAAAAAGAGCAAAGGGGAGGCCAGATATTATAAACATGGCCATCTAGGCAGCTTTACCAGGATGCCACAGCTTCACACCTTAAGGAATTGAAGCAACTGTCCCTCTAAGAGGATTATCACCCCTCATATCCCCTCCTGGATAGGAGCATGTGCAGTGAAGTCAGGATACTCGCCTGTCAGTGTAACCTGGGAAAAAGATAATTGAGTAGGAGGGCAGAGACGCTGCAAGCCTGCAAATCCTGAAGGGTTACTTGGTTAAGCTCCTGGTTATAACACCCAGACAAAGGGTTCTCTCTCTTGCTTGGCTCCTGCTCCCTTGCAGTCTCTTGCTCTGTGACCCACACTCACCCATGTATTCACCTGCCTTGTAGCCTTAAGCAGCCTCAATGGCCATGCAGACCCCACATGCAATTGGCTGCAGCTGGGAACATAAGCTAAGCTAGCGAGATGCTGCACTGGACAGTACTTTTATATGGATCAGAGACTCTGGACCGTGGCTTTAATCCTAGATCCACTGAAGACAAGATTGGATTTTTTCCATAGCCAGACAGAGGGAGGTGGGACACAGAAGGGAACCCATCTCCCTAGTTCTGTGACCTGTCAGCTAGAAGCATTGTAAAATGCATTGATTAATGACTCAATGTTCATTTTCATTGTTATTCAGATAGCTAAAAGATCAATGTTATTTATTGATTAAATAACATTAATCAATAATCAATGTTATTGATTATTACATCATCAATAAAGCTTTCCATGATACCTCAACCTCCTGTGGGGGCCTCAGGAAATTCCTATCCCTGTGGCAACCCAAGAACTCCACTTGCACTGGTAACAGGTGGGCACCCCACCAATAACAATACACGGTATTAAAATAAATGACCTCCCAGTACCTTCCAGCTCTGAAAATGTCATGACTCCATAGGTAATGATGAAAGGTACAGCTGCAGTGTGCTCAGAAATCTGGATCCAATCAGTTGTTTAAATGGCTCTAAATAAAGTTAATTAGAAGTCCTTTCATTTTAATTGAAGAAAAGCTGCCAGTAAAGGCTCATTCTGGAGCACGGATCATATTTCTTTAAAACATAGCTTTCAGTCTCTACATGACTGTTCTGTGAGTAATTCAGGAGGATGCTGATGTCTCACTGGAATGAGGTTATAATGGATTCATGATATCCAAGTGGATATACAGTTATGTCAGGGACTTGGGAAGATGGCTAATCATGTGATGAACCCATCTCCCTAGTTCTGTGACCTGTCAACTAGAAGCATTGTAAAATGCATTGATTAATGACTCAATGTTCTGCATTTTCATTGTTATTCAGATAGCTAAATCTAAGAGCATTTCACTTTTATTCCATGTTTCTGACCTTGAAACGGTTGATAAGATCGTATCTGGTAAACAGTTCATAAATCATAAACTTCAGACTATGTTCTCCACTTGCTTCATTTAAGGCAAATACATCAAAAGACCATTTATCAACTTCCTGTAGAGAAAAGAGTAAATATTTCAGGTGGCAAATTTATATAGTTTTGTTTCTTCCTATGAGAAATTACTAGAAAGATCAGGCATCATACATCTGGCGGGCCACATTTCAGTCCACACATAAGACTGTATTTTCACTGATGTCTGACATGACAGGGCCACTCAGTACCTGTGAGTCCACAGTTGTGAGGTCATAGGGCTTGATGTAAGGCTAAGACCTTCCCCTTAATCCCAAGGGTGTCAAATGATGTGATAAACCTGATAAAACTTTAATACTTCTCTTATCCTAAATTTCTTTCCAAATTCATGCTCCAAATAATTTTCCCAGTGTGGGCCTCCTTTTAAGGTAGAATTGCAGGTGGTATAGGTGATGTTAATTGAGGGATAAAGGGAAGGCAGGTCCAATTTCTCTTTTCCACCCACCCGCTACATTGCTTGAAATTCCACCATAGGAGTAAGTAATTTGGTTTAAATCTTTGATAATTTGATATCTTTTAAAATGCAAATACTCCAGAGAGAGTCGTTACTACCTTATTACTCCCTCTAAACTTGGCTAATTCATTTCTACTTTCCTCCAGGGAAAAATGGTAAGAAAAAGGAAATGGGTCTTTTGAGTGAGGAGGAGGGTGGTGACTTGGCATTTCAGCAGCTCCCTGGGGAAGGAAGGCCTGTAGGCAAAGAGATGCTCCGGGAAATGCCCCTCGCTGCCACGTGGTTCTGCAGAGGGCTTTCAGGGCGAACTCTTAGAGGAGGCCACAAAATGGACTCGTAGCACGTGGGATCAGTCCCATACATCCTTAGGGAGGTTTTAATGTAAAAGTTTGAGCTCCAACACACACACACACACACACACACACACACACACCACTGAAATTTTAAAAACGCAAAGAAATACATTAGAGTCCGTTCTAAGGATTATCAGAAACTATTAGCGAAGAGGGTCTGATTACGTCATACACAGCAGGTTTAGTATTTGCAGGTAAGTGGACAACCTGAAAACGATGCATTGATTTTGAATATGAACAGGCAATGTTTAGAGCTTCACCCACTTAACACATTTTTAAGGAGGCCAACTGTCTGTGCTGTAACATGCTGAAACTAAATCGAAAATCTGATTTAAAAAGAAAAGCATTCAAACAGTCTCTTTAAAACAATATTTCTTTTGAAAAATAGTAATACTAACTTCAAATGGTCTGTTGAATCACTTGGAAAGACCAAAAAATATTGAATCGCTTGGGTACCTTGTTAAATTCCTTGCATTGGGCCCTAATCTGATCCCTAAGCACGTCCATTATCTGTTTGTCAGTTTAAAATCTCTAAAAGTTCTGTTAGAAGGCAGTTTACCCCCAGTAAAACTCAAAGGAGGCCAGCAAGTTTTTTATCAAATTCCAAAGCTAACACAGAGGAATTAGTTCAGACTTTACAAGGCTGCTATTTACAGTTCCCACGGGGCTTCCCACTGGGTAAAAGGCTAGTTCTCCATTTCTTGGGGATTTTCATGGACAATGATGATTACATTTGTAAACTAACGCAGATGCGTGGCTTTTACATTGTCAGGTTGAGAACAAAGAAGATGAGGAGGTATCTCAGGAAATAATAATTATTTAAGTAAAAATATTCTTTAGTAGTTCCTCCCTCAACCTGTTAGTTCATATTTTTTCTCTACTATATTTTAGAAAAACATTTACGTTCTCTCATACCAAAATATTTTGTTAGTTGGTTTCTAAGCAAAGTTTCTTAAAACAAATAATACACTTTCCCTTAGTTGAGGAAATCAAAATCTCTCAAGAGCTGTGAAGCAATTAATATCCTATTATGTGACATTTCAGTTATATAATAATTGCTATATTAGCTTAGAAACATGAAAATAAAAAAGCATCTAAGGAAAACAAACTATCTTTTTAAATGAAAAACATTGAAATATAATATGCAACAGAGAAAAAACAAATGCAAAGGGGATACATAAAAGGAAATTAAAGGACAAAAGAAAGCAATATACATTTAAGCTAGCAAAGTAGTTTAATACATCCTTCAAATTCTTGGCTAGTACAAGAAAATCACCATAAGACTTAGAGAAGACAAAGTTGAATTTCCTCCACCCAAATTAAGTGATATAAAGACATAAGGAATGTTGAATGATGAATATTCAAAATGTTTCTGTGGAAATAACGGTTAGGAAGAGTACACACACACACACACACACACACACACACACACACACAATGGAGACAAGTAAATGAGCCAAAAACATTCCTCTTCAGAGTTTTGACACTAGTTATTTCTAACTCATTAATATTTTAATACAGCAACTGGGCCTCTGACTTGGGGAGCCATAGGAAAAGCAGAGATAAGAATTATAGCTAGTATTTTGTTTGTTTTTTTTCTTAATTTTATCTTACTTTTTATATTTCTTTGGACCTAAAATTCTAGACAATTTTTTTCCATGTAAGTTTTGTCCTTTAATTGTATTTGACTGAAACATCCTTTTATAAGGCATTCAACTTTTCCATAATGTATGCATAACAAAATACGTACATTCTGACAAGTCCTGGTGCTGTCCTAAAATTGAATTCAAGATCCATATAAATAAAGCATAAAAAAGAAAAAAAAATCATACATGTGCACACACACATGTGTATGCATTGCTATAGGTTGTTCGTGAAAATCAGTTCTCAATTAAGTCCACAACGAGTCATAAGTTGGAACACACAACATATAACATTTTGTAAAATGGTTAAAATATTTTTTACATACCAATAAATAAGCTGTAGCAAAGACCTATTTTCATTTCCTCCTGGCCATTTTAAGAAGATTTTTTTAAAATGACTATTTGAAAAACTAAAATAATTGAAATTATTTCACCTTTAATGTTACTATGACAGCTTCTGGATATGCCAAACCAACCATGTGATAGGACTTTCTGTACATCCTAAAAAAGAAAAATAAGTATATGTATATATACATGTGTATCATTTACTCAATATAAATATAAGGAAAAAGATTACTTTGGACTAGTTCCCCTTTTATCATTAGTTACAGGCTGCCTTTGGGACAACAATGATAACTACAGTCACCATTAATTCGGCATCTACAATGTGACAGATGTTAACACTATTTTGTTTACTCACAATCACCCTACAAAGTTACTGTGATTTGGGTTTCTAGGTAACAGTCTCTGCCTTAATTTCCTCTAACTGAAAGAACTGTCCTTTGTGTCTGCAAACACAACACTTTCTAGCATGACACCATATCACCCTCAGCAGGCTGTTCTTGTTTTGTGTTCATTTACATACCAAGATTTCCAGTATGGAAGTAGTACATCATTAAAATATATCTTTTATAAATGTTTTTCCTATAAAATGGAAATTATAGGAGGGAATTTGCACAACTTTTTTTTTTTTAATATCATCAAGGAAAACAATTTTGACAAACATTGCTTGTTTGTTCAAATTGTCATTTAACATCATTTTAGAAATATTATACAGAAAGAAAAGTTATTTCCCTCTTTGTAGTAGCTTAAATAACAAAGTACTTTTATTAGTCAGTAATTTGTTGGATTTTTCTATCTTTCAATGGGCAACCAAGAACTATAATAACTTCTCCCCCCAAAGTGCCCAGACAAAACCATAATTTAATGATTATATCATTAATTTATATTAGGGTTCAATATAAGAAATAATCATCTTCTATAAAACTACTCTGGAAAACATTAACGTTTTGATTTAATTTATATTATATTAAAGATCCATAAAACATATTACTCAATTTTTATGTAAAAGCTATCTCTTTTTAAGATAATAAAAGCCAAATAATACATCATGTTTTCCTTTTAAATCTTGACTTCTTGGAATATCAGAATTAAAATACTGTTTATGTTTATCTCTAACCTAGGCTTTCTTGATAAAGCATCTCCCCACTTTTTGACAGAGATGTTACTTTATTTTTGTGTTATGTTTATTTTAAATGACTTTAAGTAATTTTTTGATAGTGATCAGTTATAATAAAAATAATTATCCATATCCTCTACTCTGTGGGAAGATTTCAGAGCAGTTTATAAATAAAAATACTTATACTAATTAATCCATTGAAATAGGAATAATTATTCTAATCCTGCAGGGCAAAAAAACTATAATCATACTGTAAAAGACACAAAATAATTATTGTCAATAATGATATTTATTAGGGGATAAAAAAAGTTTTTTTAATCCATTTTTTCTGGTCATTATTACTAAAAAAGTGGAAGTACCAGGGAGATGGAAGGGTAATAGACAAGGAAGAATAGGTCAATATAAAAATCAATAGGAATAAGAAATCTTAAAAATTAAGTAACATTAAATCAGTTTGAGTTAATGACACAAAGGGCCATATGATGTAGCAAAGAGAACATGTGCTTTGAATAATAGGGTAGCCATGCACTAGCTGTGTGTGACCTTTGGAAAACTATTTAATGTCACTCATCTGTAAAATGAGAATAATAAGATTTCTGTGAAGAGTACATGATATAAATGCCTAGCATATTATAATAAGTTCTCAGTACAAAATATTATCATTAATATCACTCTTCTTATTACTCTGCAGCCAATACCCTTGGTTCCAATTCTTAACATTGTTTAGGGCTCCCTGGGTGCCGTGGGAATTCTGGTGCTATTAAGTTTCTTAGACTTAAAGTACGTTAAGAAATGAATACCAGTATATATTCTCACTATATTAAATATAAAAACAGACAAAAAAAAAAAAAAGGATTTCCCACTCCAAACTGATAGAGAAATTTTCCCATTATATTTTCTCATCCTATAATTGGGAATAAAATATAAGATAAAAAGTTAGAAACAGAAAATTCAGATAACTCATTCTGGAATCAGAATGAGTGTGGGAGAACATTAATGCAGTTACCTCACACTTGAGTAGATAGTTAATATACTACAAGTTGCTTAAAAAGAATAATGAATTTCCTGGGCTCTTACAGCTGGTAAAAGTCCAGCTGGACATATAGTGGATTATTTTTGCAAGTTTTGATTATAATTACAACATATAATTAAAAATTTTTAAATATATTTATGCCAGACACGATACTGGGCGACAGATTAATTAGTGGTGAATAAGAAAAATATAGTTGCTCCTTTCATGAGGCTTAGTCAGTAGTGAAGAGGAGCAATGACTAAGAAACGATTTATGAATACAGCAGTAAGTACAATGAGGCACCTCACCGGTTGGTATAGAGAAAGTGATGAACAATACACAGAGTGATCTGGAAAGATATAAAGGGCCAGCCAGCGGAAAGGGTGGGAAAATCATTTCTGATAGAGGAAATAACAGGAAGAAAGGAGTTTAGGGATGTTCACGGAACTGAAATCTAGCTGGTACAGATACTCAGTCAAGATGGTGTAAAAAAAGGGAGCCTAACCCTGCGAAGCCATGATGTAGACATTGCCTCTAATACCAAGTGAAAAGGAAAACCATCAGAAAATTTTAAGCTTAAGAATGACAGGAACTAATTTATATTTTAAAACAGCACTGTAAGGTGACTTGTTTGGAGCAGGCAAGTGAGGAAGAGGGGCGGCCCTTTGAAAGCTATTGTCATCTTTCTGATGGCAGGTAAGGGAGGGGTACGCTGGAGAGGCCCGAGTGAAGATGACAAAGTGACTCAATTCGGGCTACATTCGGGTAAGCTAATTGCCAGCACTTGCTGAGGTATTGAATCTTGGGGAAAATGCTTGAGAAGAGGCTCAAGAAGACTTTCTAACGTTCAAGATTAAAGGTCATTATTTTTGAAAACTCAGAATAAATGCATCCCACTATTTTTATGCATTTATTAATGGGGATTCAGGGCTAATAAAAAAGATTCCTTTCCAAGTGTTTGCAGCACATATCTGTCTTCAAGAGTGCTTACTAATTTAGTTATGTTAAGTACATTTTGATATTTCCATAGGCTATCAAATAAAATATTTTGGGTAGCACATAAAAAAAAATTTAGCATGTCAACATATTTAATAGAATTCTTCTTAATCTTCTACTAAATGGAAATAAAAATTCATTTGATTTACTTCTACAGTTTGCATTTCTTTTGAGTTTGTCAAGTTCTGCAATATTTTCTTAAATACAAAAGACAAAATATACATTACTTCAGTAAATCAAACATACTCTCTATCTGTGATTCTTTCACTGACTTTCTGAACTACTATTTAGATATTTTGAATTTGATGTTATGAAAAAAATCAATAACTATCACACTGTTGCCTAAGTTGCTTTTAAAAATAGGACTATGGTTACAGAAATGTCTTCTCTCCAGCCCTGCCTTCCTGTTTCAGACTTCTGATCCCACTGGCAGAGTTGGGACCAGTTTATGCACTAAGGGTGTGTGTATGTATGTGTGTGTGTGGGGGGGGGGGAGCTAGGATGAGAGGGGGGTTCAACTCACCAAACTAATCATATTCCTTATTATGAGGATTCTTTTATCAAAGCCAATTAGATATGATTAAGAAATACTCAATATAATTTGAGTAGTCATTGAGTGATTGTTATTTTGGGTAACACAGGCACAAGCCAAGATCCTAGAAACTCTACCTGCTGTCATTATAATGTATCTTTAAGTCATATTGAATACTTCTTTTTTATAAATTTTTAAAATTGATTTTAGAGAGAGAGAAAGGGGGAGGAAGGGAGAGAAACATCGATGAGAGAGAAACATCAACTGGCTGTCTCCTGCACGCCCCCTCCTGGGGATTGAGCCTGCAACCTGGGCATGTACCTCCACTGGGAATTAAACCAGTGACCTCCTGGTGCACCAGATGGCGGACACTCAACCAATTGAGCCACAAAAGCTAGACAAACACTTCTTTTCTTTTTAAATTTATTTTTCAATCATAGTTTACATTCAATATTATTTTGTATTAGCTTCAGGTGACACATTGAATACTTGCAATGCATTTTCATTTTCATTTTTAGAAGCCCAAGTATTCTTCCTGTATTAGAGGAAAATTAAAGTTATGTGACATTTATAATGTTCATTAGAGGTAGTGACTAGAGATGTCAGATGATAAAAATGATGTGGTTTCCCTTAAATTTAATTTTAAATGCATGGACAAAAAATCTTTCTCTGCTCTCCTGTTTAATTAGTCTCAAAATGTTAAAATAATCTTTTTACACATAGCTTAACAATATAATTGATTTTTAATCTAAAGAATTTCTAGTAACTAGTTTTTAATATTGTCCGATATTTCACGTCAGATAACATGTTTATTTGTAGTTTTAGTTTTGGGATATCTTGTTTCCTAGACAGAAAACTAAGTTGTGTTTGTAAGGGCTAACAGAATGTAAAACTGGGTCACATTAACATGGATTCCACATGAGAAACTCTGGGGATTTGATTCAGTGTTTCTAGAAGCCATCAAGTATCCCTTGCTTTGGTGACAGAAGGGTTAAGAAAAAACTCTTCGAAAGTGGACATGAGAGAGCTTTCCTCCTATAATGAGAAGAGAATGGTCTTTTCTCTTTGGTGCAGAGAAAGGTTTGCTTGACTTTGGTATGCAGAGTGGAATTTGTTCTATGAGGTGTTACAATTTATTCAGGTAAAATTAGTTGTATACTATATAAATATGTTTTCATTGTTTTTAAAGAGCCATTCACAAAAGTTCATTCAAAAGCCAAAACCTTTGCCTTAAGTCTTTATATCAACTTAAAAGAAATAAAAATAATAATCTAGGATAGGGAACTTTTATTTAGGGAAGTCCATCATAAAGTCCTAGATCTGCTCATTCTATGTATATTTATGATTGTAGTTATGAGCTCCATAACTTTGATAGAGTAAGTATATCTTCCGTCTTTCAAATTCTGTCTTGAAATACCAGAAATTTCACTTACCTTTCCACAAAAATTCCAGCTTGAACAGCATGCACAATGCTCCGAAATTTTGGCTTTTCCTCAGATTTCTTCTTCATCATCCCCATTTTCCGTGTAAAGGTGGAAGCCAACCAGTCCCGGACCTCCAGGGGGACTGAATCTGATTGGATGTCACTGAGCTCATCATCGGTATCCAGTAGCCTTCTGCAAAAATGTATACTGATTAAAACTTTGGGGGAAAAGGAAGAAAATAACAATAAAACAAGCATTGCAATGGGATTTAAGATATACAAATCACTTTCTGAACATTCCTTAATATGAACTACCTAAAAAAAAGAAAAATGATTGTGTTAACATTAGGAGAGATCTGAATTTCTCAAACTGACCATCTTCTCAAAGTAAGACTAATGGACTTGAGCATTTGCAGACTTTGATCATGTAAGTACAAATGACATCAGTCTGGAGATATCAGTTGTTAGTATCATTAATACACAGTTCTAATGATGAGTAAAACTAAGATGAAATCAGGAGGAAAGACCTTAAACAGGTCTACTGTTAAAGGAAGAAACTGAATGGAAAGAAAGAAGAGGGTTAAAAACCATCAAAGTTGCCTTATCGTTCACAATCTTCTGTGCATACAGTTCAGATAGTACCTATTATTTCAATAAGGTCTTGGAGTTTACAAATGCCCTTCATACGTGCTATTTCACTTGACTGGGATCTCTAAATTTTAGGAAAATAATAACATAAGTATTCTAAAAGACATGAATGTTGGTATCAAGATTGCGGATTAGAAAACTGAAGAAGCTGAAAAGAACAGCAAATGGATTGTTTTGAGAACTCATTTCGGGTGAGGAGCCGATGGAAGTGGAAGAGACGCTGCTCCAGCGAAGAGCAGACATTGTCTTGAGGGTGGCCGTGGGGGCTTCAGAACTGCTGGCTCCGAAAAGCAGCTGCCTGGGGGAGGCAGGCAGCAGGACTGATCCCCGGCCCTGCCACGCTCCCGGCAAGCTCCAGACAGCTGCTGTTGACCAGGCTGACAACGTTGATGACGTTAGGGCTGTACGTCCTAGTCCTGTAAGAGCTGTCGTAAGGCTGGCCAGCTCCAGAGACCCAGGACTCCCTAAATGTCTAAACTGGCAAGAGAAGAGTGAGAGGCTCCCTGCAAAATTCAAAACCAGCTCTGCAGAGCAACCGGGCTTGGCCTGGAGGAGGAACACGGGCCAGCTCTGCCTGTCGCTTGGTTTGGTTATTTCTTTGTCAGTGCACCAATTTAATAACTCAGAACTATTTTTGGCACACGTTAGATTTGACCTTTTGGTTCCATTTGCTTTCGTAAATCTCTCTGCACAGAGTGAGGCCTAAAGATTAGGAGCCAATGGCAGGCCGGTAGCCAGAAATGACAGCGTGTGTTAAATAATCCAGAACCAGTCACACACCATCTCGAGAGGACAGGACCAAGGAAAGGGCAAAGGAGAAGAAAACCCACACAGTATTACCAAAAAGAGACTCAAAAGGTACTATCAACTCCTCAGTGTGTTGCCATTGTCTGAAAATTTTCAGAGGATCGTCATTTGCCAGTATTTATTTCTCATGGTATTAATCATGAAAGCATTTATGAAATAACATGTGAAAAACATATTCAGCTTAAGTGCTGGAGTTACAAAACTACATGTATACATATGAAGATGAGAAAGATTTGCAGAGCTGGAAGTTAATCCTGGTTAATACTTACTTTATGTCATTTTTAATTTTCTTGTGGGTCTTAGATTTGGATGATTTTGATTTAGCCTTACTACAATGACACTGTAAATCAAAGTGAACTGCTTTTTTTCTCCTTCCGTCCATTTTAAATTAGATTCCTTTTTGCAGCAAGATGGAACACTGCATAGTTTGAAAAACTCAGGGTGCATGGCATTTCTATTATTTCACATGCGGTGGTCAGACAAAACCCCAGAGCAGAACACATGGAGTGGGAACCATTGTGGTTAACCACTGTGAGGTCACCATGCCCTGAGGATTCCATTGGTGCCTTGTGTTAACAACCGGAGTGACAGACACATGGTAAGGTTGTCAGTGACTCTGTTGATGCTGATGACTTTATAGCCATATGTCCTAAACTCATAAACTGTTCAAACCAGGTGATCAAACACGCAGAAATCAGTACATGGACAGGAGAGTTCACGGAGGGATGTGGTCCTGAAGCATGACGTCAGGAGAAGGAAAGGGCCTATTATCTCAAGCAGAAGGAGTGATATGGATTAGTTAGTAGATATAGGGATAAAGGAAGATTATATGCAAAAAGAAAAGCATGAAACAGGCTATGTTATAACTAAATAGGCAAATCTTGAAAAAGCAACAGAAACCTCTGTGATGGCTGGTTTTATATGTTAACATGGCTAGGCCATAGTCCCCAGTCGTCTGGTCAGATGGCAGTCTAGATGCTGCTGTGAGGTATGGTTTAGATGTGGTTAACATTTAAATCAGTGACTTTGAGTAAAGCAGACAACCCCGCATAATGTGAGTAGGACTTATTCCGTCACACGAAGGCCCTCAGATTCCCGAGATAAGAGGGGGCGTCCTCTGAAGCTCTGGAGTGGAGCAGACTCGGTACTGCAACATGACTCCTGCCGGGGTTTCCCCAGGTCAGCCCGCCCTCCAGATCCCCACCTTGCCGTCCCGGAATCACATGACCACACGAGCCAATTCCCTAAAACAAATCTCTCTCTCTCTTCATTGCTTTTAGGTTAATATAATATTTTATATATATATATATGTACACACACACACACACAAAATAAGGAGTAAGGGTCTACCTATCTATTTTATCTATCTACCTATCTATCTGGACTAAGAATATTCTCATCATTCATGAACACTATGTGGTAACTACCAGCCTGGTTATAAATCATATAGAAGATATAAAAGCACAACACTGTATCATATTAATATTCATTTAATGGGGCATATCAATCCTAATTCTGGTTTTAAATGGTAAAAATGCCATTTGCAAGAGACTAAAATGCTTTTTTAGCCATTATAAATCTTAACACCTTACTGCCTTTTTATGGCTTCATAGCTCATTTCTTTTTATTGCTAAATAATATTCTGTTGTATGGATGTACTCTGTTTATACATTCTACTGTTAAAGGTCATCTTGGTTGCTTTCAAGTTTTGGCAATTATAAATAAAGCTGTTATAAACATTTGTGAGCAGTTTTCAACTCATTTGACTAGATACCAAGGAGTAAAATGCTTGGAACTTACAGTAAGAGTATGAGTAGTTTTTTAAGAAACTTCCAAACTGCCCAAACTGTCTCCCAAAGCGGCTATACCATTCTGCGTTTCCACCAGCAAATAAACGAGAGAGGCCAAGCCATCTTCCTCTCTTGCTCGGCCTACTGCAGCAGCCGGCTGCTCTCTCGGCCCTTGTCCTTACCTGCTTTCGTTTCTTCTCTCCTCTGCAGCCGGTGTACTTTTCACAGTATAAAGCAGACCATGTCAGTGCCTAATCCATGAAGTCCTCCGCAGCTCATCACAAGCTCCGTCTCGTCCTCCACCTCTTAACAAGTCCCATTTAGCCATTTGCCCCAGCAACACCGGCCGCCTTCTGCACTCAAACCCACCAAGTTTGTTTCTGCTTCAAGGTTTTGCACTTGCTGCCCCTCTGCTAAGACTCTCTTACCATATTTGTGGGGGTCCTTTCCTTACGGCTTTCAGGTGAAGAGGGCTTCCCTGAACCCCTTACTCAAATAGTCAACACCCATATTCTTTTTTTATCCTGGTAAGAAAATCCTAATGAAGACATAAATAAGTTATAGCAGATTCATCAAGATAAGTGTTCCAGTTTGGCAGGAAGAAAGTTGAAAGACAAGTGGATAAAACTTACATGTAAACAAATTAAAAAATAAGCCAATGCACCTAGTGCTACATTTCTCCCCAAACTCTTCCTTCTCCCTGACTTGTTTTTCTTCCCCTGGCCCCGACCTTGTTCACTCTGTTATCCTTCCCTGAGCACCACCAGAAACTCCTCAGGTTTCATTTGACCATGCCGGACAGGGCAGGAACACAAACTACAGTAGCACATAAAGTAGGAACCCTGGACTTTGTTAGAGAATTATCATTGACAAGTTTCCTATACATTTATCTAAGATGTGAAAATATCTCAATGCTCACATAAGATTATGTCACATGTAAAACTTATAAGACTCTAGTCTGCCCTCATTTTATTTTGGAAATAAATTTGTTCAAGTAGCTTGATAAAATGGGACATCAAATATTGTAATGAATTTTGCTTTCAAAACATCCTACAGTTGTATTGCCCCTTACCCTAATCCTAGTGTTACCCTAATCCTAGTGAGTATAATTCTCTACACTGCAGTGCTCTTAAAAATATTAAAATATAAAAGAATCATTGGTGCATTTTCCTTGGGAATTCTTACAACACACTACATAGGAAAGAATGATGAGGAGTATATGAATACAATGTTATCACTGTTGACTTTGGAAAAATGCTTCTACTGGTGTTTGATGCAACTTTTTCTTTTTAGTCCCAGTGGAGTCAATAAAGCAGAAAGTGAGGGGTCCCTAAATATGAACTGTATGTTTATGGGGGGCTGGCAAGTTGTGAAAACTGATCCTGTATCCAATCAGTGCTTAACTGATCCTTGGGAGATATTTTTATTCCAAATTTTCTCTCGAAATCAGATGACACAATTCCCAAAGGGCTTATATTTTGAACTAGAAAGTTTGTAGGGGAAGGGAATAAAGGAGGAGGCCACGGAAGGAGAGGTCATGGGATTTTGACTCTTACAATTATATCAGTAAAAATATTTCTTTTCACAGTGGACTCTTGGAAAATGATTACGCCCGTATCCACATGGTTATTTCCAGGCAACTGGTGCCCATAGTTACACCTATTAAGTATTAAAAATTCAAGTACTGAATGCAATCGGAAGAAACTGGCTTCTCAAGCTTGAAATTTTCTTCTTCCTGTTTTACTATTACTATAAAGAATGTATTTCAACAAGCAGCTAAGTCATTTCATTCGGCCCCTAACATTTGCTGGGCTCAGGACAGGAACACATTTTTCCCAAATACTATACAATTGAATAAAGGTATATATCAAGTAAACAAATTGTTTAATATGTTCTATCCTCCTACTTTTTTTTTTTTTTTTTTAATCCTCATCCGAGGACATTTTTC